ATTTCATTCTACGGTGGGGAGTTGATTTATGTGGAAGCAAGCCTTTAGGAAAAAGACTACATTTCAAAGCTGTTGCCTCTCTCAAACCACGGATAAAGCAACCAGGCAGATTTTAGAAGCTTCGGGTTACTTCTCACCCCTACCCCTCACCAAAAAGGAAAAGTTTTTTGCCTTGTTCTTCATAGGCAGGGGCTAAGTGGTTATTTAGGTCTTAGTCTAATTCTAGAAAGCTCCCATAGGTGCACTCCCTACTATTGTAGTCAATAAATAAAGCTCTTGGTAATCAATAAAGTTGATTACCAAACAGCTATTTGAAAAAGGCATTACAAATTCAAGGCAATAAGAGAAATGGAAATCTTGTTTCACATTCTTTTGCCCAAATGAATGCTTGTTCTTTTCAGCTTATAGGAAGGTCCTGAACTGGCAATAGAAGACCAGTCTTCTGTCACACCCAGATTTCCCACTCAGTTTGGATATATCTTATCTTTGGGTGGAAGTGTGGGTTGTGCAGTTTTGAAGACAAGCTGAGGAGACAGCTTCTGCTCCTTTGCGGCTGCCAATGGTTTGCATTTTTCCCCCAAGTTGGATGCAGCGAGTTTACTTGGTGTTATTGCTGCCACCACACCTACACTAATGATGCCTTAGTCAAGGAGTTTACTTGGTGTTATTGCTGCCACCACACCTACACTAATGATGCCTTAGTTCAGGATCCAAGGAGGCCAGAAAAAAAGTTTTCTGGGTCAGGTATATTTAAGGGATTATTTGCTATAATGAGCAATCATCACCTTTCTGGAGCTGGAAGGAGTACAATTTGAGAAGAGGGACAGAGGTGGGAAATGTGCCTAGGTAAAGGCAGGAGCAGTGTAGAAATCCACTGCTGACATTCATAGACAAGTGCAGAAGGCCTAAAAAAAAATTCACTCTTCCACCACACCCAGCCTTTGCCCTCTCCCCGTTTCCACTTTGGAAAGTCTGAAGCATGCTGGAAAGCTTTTTTTCTTGCCTCTTCCTGAGCTCCCAATTGCTGGACCTCTTGCATAACAGAGCACCGAGTTTTTGATGTACTCCAGATGTGGAGCAGAAGTGGGGGTGGACTGTGAGGGTGGTGAGCTATAGTCCCCTGAGTGCTGTAACTGTGGGGACACAGGGAACAGCAGAAGCTAGGACACATTGCACAAAGCCTTTAGCATGGGGTCAGTCATCCAGTACCTGTGCTGGGAGGACAGAGAAAAGCTAAGTACTATTTCAATTCCTTGCCCCAGCATTCGTTACCTCTGTGACAGGATTGATTCCCAGAAATTCCTCCTGACTAAGACTGTAAAGAAGAGCTGGGAGTTGTGAGTTAAGTGAAAAGTCTGAGGTACCCCAATCTGAGCTCCTTCCCTCAAATGCTGGGTCTTGGCACATAGGATACAACAGTTTTGGTTTTTCTTTTCCTTTCACCAGAATAGCTTGAAAATTGCAGTTGTGATCTGCCTCATGCAAGGTGTCCAGAGTCAAAATACATTCACGAGGCTCAAACAGTATGAAGACAGGAAGAATAAGAGGCTCTCCACCGACCCCTCATAGCCTAGGGCTTTCTGGTAGGCTGCACGCTGGAGCTTGTTCTGTTGGCCACCGCAGACAGCTTGGAAGCTGATCCTTCCCCTCCCCCTTCGTGTCCATTGCCTATCTCTGGCGAGCTCCAGCCTGCAGCGAGGGGGCGCCCCTGCTAATGCTAGCCCTGTCAGTAAGTAACCAAAGATTCCTGCAGTTCAGCCTCCTGCTGCTCCTGGATTAGGGAGAGAGGGTACAAACTAAAGATACCGAATCTGAACAAGATTTGTCCATCCCAAAGAGGACCAGTTATTTTCTGCTATCTGTGCCAGCTTGGGGTTTTTCTATTCCTTCCAGTGCGAAAGAGTCTCTGGAATCCCTCTAGAGTGTGTTAAAGAGGTTCAGTCTAGCTGAATTCAGCTCCCTAGGGCCTCCCCAACCAGTCTTCTGGGGCAAGAGCTGGCTTTGCAAGGTAAGAATCCACTGTCAGTATAGGATTTCAGGGTGGGGGTGAGGGTTGAGATGAAGAATGACTTCAACCAGGCTATTTCTAGGCTCCTTTTAGGTTTTTAGTCCCCTCCCCCTTTTCTTCCTTATTAACCCTCCACTCATACAGAAACCTCAACTGCTTATAGGATAGTGTGCTCAACTGTTTCTACAGCTTGCATCCCAATTGTAATCTGGCAGGTTGGGGTTGGGGTGGAACTACATGGAGTTTTCTTGTGCTTTACAATTTGCATGGCACTGTAATATCTTCTTACACCTATCCTTAGAAAAATCCGTGAAGCCTGATGTGCAGGGCTACCAACCCCCATTTGCAGCTCTTCGTGGTGGGGCTTGGAAGAAGGTGAGAAGGGGTGACCGGCCAATCTGGGTACCTGCAGCAAATATTCTGGAGGGGGATATTGTATGTTGGAGGGCTGTCACTGTGAGGTTCACTGGGGGCCAACGGAGGATTCAGGAATCGAAAATTAAAAGGGGGTGGGGGGCACTAGGAAAGAGACAGACAGAAGAATGTCAAAACCACCTCAGAAGAGCCTTAAAGCCCTGACCGGTGTTGCTCTGTTGGTTGAGCAAGGTCGGGCAAAGCGAAGTGTTGAAATGTCGCTTGTTCGATTCCGGGTTCGGGCACATGCCTGGGTTGCAGTTTCGGTACCTGGACTGGCGCGCACAAGAGGCAACCAATCTGTGTTTCTTCCCCTCTTTCTCCCTCCTTTCCCCTTTCTAAAAATAAAATAAAAAGAAGTGGTGTAGGAGGAGGACAGCCTTAAAGCCTACGAGTGGAGGGTGGTCTAAGACTCCGAAGGGGAGGAAGAGGGGGAGGGGAGAAGGTGTGTGTGTGTGTGTGTGTGTGTGTGTGTGTGTGTGTATGTGTGTGGTGGCGGTAGTTGAGAGTCCAGCTGCAGAAACAAAGCCGTCACTGTACTGGCTGGGCGTGTATGTGTGTGGGACGGGGGCGGGGCTTGCTCCTATGAGAAAGCTGGGGTGGAGAGTGGACCTTAGGCTCCAGCCCAGCAAGGGCGTCTTCTCTGGCTGGCCTGGAAGACCGGACGTGGGGCAGGGGACGGGGGCGGGAACTAACCTGGGCGGGACCCACTCTCTCTCCACCTACTCAGCGGGCTCCCGGGGAAAAGCAGCAGTATCCTGAATCTGAGGCCGTGGCAGCTAAGCCAGACAGACTAAGGGACCGGTGTCCCCTTCTCCCCCGAGGTAATAATTCTTCCCTCTACACCTTTGGGTCCCGTTTGCTACCCGGCTGGGACTGGATAAGAAGTTCCAAGCCTGACGAGAACCCTCAGTTAAACTCTGGGTCAGGGGCCCCAGAAGAAACCCTTGGGGGAGGAGGAGGTGCCTTAGGTGAGGGCATGGGTACGAAAGGGACTTGTGGAGAGTGGGCTCAGCTGCTCTCCTGCGAACTGCATGCTTTTGCTATCCCCCGCCGCCGCCAGAGGGAGCCTTCGCGCTCTACCCCGGGTGGAGTGACGCTGATACGACCCCATCAAGACTCTCCTTAGGGTACCCAGATGAACTGCTGGACATTCGCGGGGTCCCTTCTATCTGAACCCCGAGCCCCCCGTCCCTTGCCGACCATAGGACTGACAACTCTGCACCCGGCGTGCCGGTGGCGGGGTAGCGGATGGGAAGCCCTGGGACATCTCCTCTTCCGTCCCGGGCCCAGCAGCCTTGATGGACGGGGAAGGGGTGAGGAGCTGGGCTTGAAAGCACGGATGTCCGGGAGGGGCTCTTGGGCGTATCTGGCACTGACATGGCCCTCCGAAGCCCCACGTCTTTCGGGAGGCCAGAGGGGTTGTGGGAATAGTGATTCCCAGCCCCTTTCCCTGCGCGCACGCTGTCTGTATTGGAATCCCCTGCGGAGTTCCCTGGAGCCCGGCCTCAGCCAGGTCTTCCGGGCTTCTCCTGCAGAGGGTATTGAGGGCGGGTGGTAGGACGCGGAGGCTGGGTGCTGGGAGGGGCCTCCGGGCCCGGGGTCGCAAGGTTACGGCGGATGTTTCCGCCCAGGTGGTCGTGAGCTGGAGTTTGGCTGGGAGACCGCGGGGCCGGCGGACATCGGGGGCGCCGGGCGGGGCTGCATTCTGGACCCGTTAGCTCAGCGGTCCCGGAGGCTGACTCATCGCAACTGTCACAAACAAACAGCTCCCCACCACGTCAGATGTCCCAAAAAACAGAGAGGCACAGCGCCAGGCCTGCATCACCCACGCACATGCCACCCGCCCCCAGTCTCATCGCCCTGACTTGTGAGGAACCCTTCCTCACACACACCCAGAACTCAGCACGTTCCACACCCTGTACCCAGAGCAGCCCTCAGCACCTGTTGCTCCTGCGCTCACTCAGTTCCCGCTCACACGCAGCCCCTACGCCACTCAGTCACTACGCCACTTGGAAGCACCCTTACACACGCAGTTCCTCATACACGCATCTCCCCCACACGCACAGTCCTCCTTCGAGGCTCTTTCTCTCCCTCTCCCTCCCTCTCTCTCCCTCCCTCCCTCCCTCTCCCTCTCTCTCACACACACACACACACACTGCCGCTACACCCGCAGAATCCTGCCCGCAGCTGCTCCGCAGGAAGCGGGCGGTGTGTGGGGCCACGTTTCTCCCGCGGCACAAACAAGTGGCTTCTTCTCCTCGCTCCTCCAAAGAAAGGCCGCTTGTCTAGCGGCAGCGGGGAGTGGGCCGGCCCAACACTGCGGCCTTGTCCCACCTGGCGAACACTCCGCTCCTCCCGCGACTGGGAGACCGGCACTTTCCCCGCCCCACCTCCACTCCCACCCCCACCAGAATAAAAATCGGAATCCTAACTATGCTCACGTCTCCCTCTCCGGCTCCACGTCCTCTCAGCTGCACTCGCTCGCCCACTGCGGGGACACTGGCTGCCCTCAGCCTCCTCTGCCTTCAGCGCCCCGGGTCTCGCCCCGGGTCCCCTCCACTGCTTTCGGTGCCCTCTGGTGCTTCCCCAGGTCCTTGACGATCCCTGTCCTCAGTCGCCCCTTTTCTTTCCCCTCCCCCGCTCTCTTTTTACCTCATCCCTCAGTCTCCCGCTTCCATTTTCCCTCCAGATACCTCCTCTCCACCTCTTTCTTCCCAACCTCCCGCAGACCTCTCACTTTCCTTGCCCTTCAGTTCTCTCCGCCCCGGGTCTTTCCTTCCCCACTCTGGGCTCCCGCCCTGCTCCGACGACCTGTCCCCTGAGCTTCCAGCCTATTTCTTTCCATTCCGGACTAAAGTTTCCCAGAAGGCAGCGGAGATGCGCGGGGAGAATAAATCCAGCCCGGGCTGATGGGTAGCGGCGTCCAACGGAAGCCGGGCAGCCACAGGGGAACGTCCGGGCGCTGCGCTGCTTCGTCCTGCAGGCAAGGGGTGGGGTCCGGGGACAGGGCGCCCCCAGGTGGCGGCTCTCTAATCCCTTTGTCAAGGCACCGTGTAAGTAGGTTCTGGTATCTTTCCACCCTACCTATATTAGGTTTCCGAGCTTGGGCCACAGCCTTGCACCTTCCAATCTGTACATCTCTTCTTATCTTCTCTGTCTCTCCGTACACCTCTCCCCACATCTGTCCCTTTCATCTCTTAATTACCTTCTCTACTCTTATCTAATCACTCTCGTTCCCCTCAGCATTATCTCATTACAGGCTCTATCTTCATTTGAAAAAAAAAATTTTTTTTTGGTGTAAATAAATGAATACACCCACAGCTGCTTCGCAGGGTATAATGACTTTTGACAGGTGAAGAAACTAAGGCTCTCAAAGGTAAAGTGACTCGTTCAAGGTTACAAAGCTCATAGTAATAACTGGCAGTTTCATTGAGGTATAATGTATATACCATAAGATTCACTTAATTTAAGTGTACATTCACTTAAAATTCAGTTATTTTCACTATATTTACAGAGTTGTGCAACCATCATCACAATTTAGTTTTAGAACATTCCTGTCAGGCAAAAACAAAGAAGAAGAAGAAGAAAAAAGGAAGAAAGAAATTTTATGCTCATTTATTTGTCACTTTCCATTCCAGGCAAGCACTAAATCCATACAATCTTATTTTAAATAATTATTCCAGCTTTATAGAGAATGACGTGGCAGAGACAAGTTAAGTAACTTGTCCAAGATCACAAAGCTAATAAATAATAAAGAACAGGGTAGACATTAAATGATGATGGCTTTCCTTCACCATTTTTGTTTTGTTTTTCTTATCTCCTCTTTTACATACACTCCTAATTTTCAACCCATTGTCTCTTGCTTCTCCTCCATCAGAGAATGCTGAGGGATTTCCCTGAGTGGAAAGAAGCAGTACATCAGTCTTGGTTCCTGGAAAATTTTTCTGTTGCCAGTCCTGAGGAGGTACCAGGTCAGCTTGGTTCTTGGTGTAGGTTAATGGCCTTTGCCTTCTCTCTTCCGAGGCAGACTTGGGATGGACCCCAAGTCCTGTTCTTGCTTGGCCTCTCTTCTATGAGCTTGGGTGGAAATGGTGATGGAGGTGATGTAGTACAGACCTGGAAGGGTGGAAGTTGGGTGGGTAAAATTAGTAATTCTATGGCTAAGGCCCTTGGGCCCCACTGCCAGGGTCAGACACTCCTTAGAATGCTGACTCCTGCCTCAACTTCTTCTCAAAGTCAGCTGGTAGTTGGCTAGAAGAGAGAATAGAGGGAAATCTTGCCTTCAGCCGTATTCTTCTCAGCTTTCCCCAGTAACATTTCTGCAGCAAATTGGAAGTTCTCACATTAGCAAGTTGATCAAGAGATGAACATGTAGGCACACATTAGTACACAAAGGTCCTTCTTCTTATTTCTCGGGTACTAAAAATGTGAGCCAGTGTGAAAGAGTTCAAGTTCTGGCTCTGGAATCTATTTTACCCTTTTTTCTAAGGACCTATGCTTTCTATAGCACCAAATCAGGTTAAGATCCCAAAAGTCCTATATTCCCAGTATTAGTCACCCCAGTGGTTTGTCCACCCGTCCTTCCTTCCCTCCTTCCTTCCTTTCTTGTTCCTGATTGTGTGGGGGCAAGATTGCTTTCTGGAGAAGAGAGAGTGCAGAAGTTGAGCCCTGTAGAGATAGCAGGAATGGTTGAATTTCTTTTATTTTTTCCCAGAAAATATTTTTTAATGTTCCGGTTGAGTTTTTCTTTGGTCTATTTTAAGAAAAGATCCTGGCCCTGGCCAGGAAGCTCAGTTGATTAGGTGATTGTCCTGATACACCAAGGTTGCAGGTTGGATTCCTTGGTCAAGGCACATACAAGAATCAAGCAATGAATGCATAAATAAATGGAACAAAATAAATTGATGTTTCTCTTTCTCTCTAAAATCAATAAATAGCCCTAGGTGGTGTGGCTCAGTGGATTGAGTGCCAGCCTGTGAACTGGGCCTGTTTGCTTCCCAGTCAGGGCACATGCCTGGGTTTTGGGCCCTGTCCCCAGCTGGGGGTGTGCGAGAGGCGATCAATGTATCTTTCACACATTGATGTCTCTGTCCCTCTCTTTCTCGCTCCCTCCCTTCTCTCTAAAAATAAATAAATAAAACCTTTTAAAAATATAATCAACAAATAAAATTTTTAAAAAAGAAGAAAAGATCCTATTGAGACCCCCTGGGAAAAGAGACAAAGTGGAGAAGAAGAAGAAAAGGAAAGGTTGGGGGCTTCTATCTCAGCCCTGCTACCCACCGGGCAGCCCTCTGACTACTCATGTCCTTGGAGAGGGGTGCCCTGGATTCACCTTTCCCCACTAAGGTAAATTTTTCCCACCCTGCTTACAGTTGCAGATGTCTGAGGATCCTTAGCTAGCTGTTGGGTGTCAGAGGCAGGAAAGCACAGACGTATAGGTTGGGCCTTATAGGGCTTTTTGTGGTTTACAGCGGCAAGGGCCAAGAGGGATATGGTGTGGTGTCCATGCTGTGCCTGAAGATGTGTCAGCACCTTCTCCCAGAAAACTCCTGAGCCTAAGCATGCTGGAAATGATAATGACTGGTGCTGTCCCTCCCCTGACAGCCCTACCACAGAGCCTACTCCATTCCCTTTTCTGCCCTGGCCTCCCCACCTCACCTGCTTTCCGCTATGTCCCCAGGAGCTCTAGAGACCCAGGACCATGAACACTCTGAATAGGAACCAGATAGGCCCTGGATGCAAGACCCAAGCCATGTTGCAGGTGAGTTGGGTTGGGGCCATGAGGCAAGAGCGCTGTTAGTGATGATGAGTTTGGTTCCTCTATCCACCCATGATCCTAGTCTGAGAATGAGAGGAACAGTTCTTCTCTGCTCTTCCCCAGGTCCCAAGCCTATTAACAGCTAAGTCTTTATCTGAATTAGGTGAATTGGTTTACCCAGAAAATACCCTTTGAAAGTCAGAAAGGGTTTACAGATTAACCCTGCACTGTATTTCTCTCCTCAATCCATGCCTCTGCCCTCACTTGTGATTTAGTTAATGGGGACAAGCACTGGCTAAGTGGATTGCCACAGACAAGTCTACAGGACAAGTCTTGATTGGCCCTCCTCTACAGCACCCCCTTCTCTTACCCCGTGCCTCCCCACTTCACTTACTTTCTCCTTGTTTCTGTCTTAATAGACAAAAGGGGTAGTTAAGCCAAGAGCTGAGATAAATCCGGTGGGACAAGTTAGTGGCCTAGATTCAGATATAACTACACTTCAGTGGAATAATGCTCTGTGCAAGATTTGTGCTAAGCCTTTTGACACCTTAAGAGCCCTTTGTAGAGGGCAAGTGCTGGAGAGAGTGCTGGTGTGACTGGAACTAGTGTAAAGTGCTGGTCTGGAGTCTCTAATGGTACTCATCTTCCACCCCCATTGACTACAGAAAGGACCCTTGGACCTGATTGAGACAGGCAAAGGACTTAAAGTGCAAACAGACAAACCCCATCTAGTGAGCCTGGGAAGTGGACGACTCAGTACAGCTATCACCCTTCTGCCGCTGGAGGAAGGTAGGTTGAGGAGTGGTCCACCTGCCACTCCTCCATCCTTATAGACATTCCTGCCCTGGGGTCCAGGCATGCATTGGAGCCCTTCTACTATCTGCTGGCAGTGTTTATCTTCCCCAACTGGGAGGTAGTGCCACCACCAGTTTGCTTCCCTTGTCTATTCCTCTCCAGACTGCCTGCCATCTTTGGTAGATAATTTGGCTCCATGACTAGGATTAAAGATCAGTGTAGAAATAAGGAGGAGAACACTGAAACAGGAGAACATATTACTTGTAACAACCAGAATGGCCAAGAAGAGTGGGGGCCTGAGTCCAGGGCAATGCCTGGCATGGGAGAAGATACCAGTGGAAAGTGGAGAGATCGAAGTAGGGGACATACCTCCCAAGCAAGATAAGGCCCTGGCACAGCCCCCTCACTTTGCAGCTTCCAGCCTTCCTCTCTTCTGTCCTGGTTGCACTTGTCTGGATAACACTACATTCCTCACATTCTTCAAATACCAGTCCTAGGGGCTCTGCTAGGGGAGGGTCAGAAGCAGTGAGGGAAGAGGCTGCACTGAAGGGAGAGGGAGTGAGGGAAGGCAAGGGTTGTAGGTGGCAAAAGGGAGGGAAAGAAGAAAGAAAGAGCGAAGACTACCATGAAGGAGACAAGGGACTTAGGGAGGGAGAGTTAGAGGGACTCAGGGAAGGTTTGCAGAAAAGAAGTTCCCCTTCTTTACTCTATGGAGCCTTCTGTGCCCTCTGGGCCTTTCCATCTTTGGTCCAGAGTTTTCTCTGCCTGAGAAGAGCTTCTACCACCTACTGTTTCCATCAGGCTCAGGGGCCCAAAAGGGGTGGCCAGTGGTGAGAAATGATTCTCCCTGGAGTAGGAGGCAGAAATATATTTCCCGTGTGGCTCTCCTTGCCCTGTTCCTGCCTCCTCAGGCCGGACAAACCCTCTAACTCAGTCTGCCTCTTGTCTTTAGGGAGAACAATGATTGGCTCTGCGGCCAAGGACATCACACTGCAGGGTCCAGGCCTGGCTCCTGAGCACTGCTACATCGAGAATCTGCAGGGCACCCTTACCCTCTACCCTTGTGGCAATGCCTGTGCTATTGATGGGCTCCCTGTCCAGCAGCCCACCCGGCTCACTCAGGGTAAGGTTTGATACCTCCAAACAGAGGGGGCCTCTGTTTAAAAGTTTCTGCATGATAAGTGCTGGCTAAGACTGCTGTGGTGGTTGCCATGGTAACTATCTCAGGTGCCTATTACGGAGATGGGGTGTTTAAGTGCATCTGATATGCCTAAACATCCCAAAACCTTCTGGCATCTAGGCTTGTCTTCATCCTGCTTTTCTTCTCTGATCACTTCCATCTGTCCTCCCTCTTCTGTCCTCTTCTGTCCTCTCTGTCCTCTTCTTTTCCCTACACCACAGGGAAAGAAGAGGTTCCAATTCCTGGTATCAAAGGGCATAGGGGTGGTGCAGTGGTCATTAGTAGTTGCTAGGGGAGAGGAATTAGAGCACTGGTGAGGTGAACAATGGCATTGTACGGTGATGCCAAAAGGGAGTTGTGGTCTGAAAAGCTATAGAGGTGGGGAGATGAAGACAATACCTTCTTGGTGGGGATAGGGAAAGGCAAAATCTGATGGCAATCTCAGGACATACCCACTTTTACTAAAAAACTGTTAACAGTAGTTTTTGGGTCATGAATATGGTTATCACCCTATTTCCCAAAGCAATTGGCCATTTCACTGTTGTAAAGGAGCTTTAAAAATTGGGCCCCTTGTTATTATGGTGACCAGGCAGGTAAGGGGTTGGCCCTGGTGGCACTTTGACAGAAGAAGTGTGTTTGCCCTGGGCATCAATATATATGGTGAATCATCACATTAGGGAAATGAGAAAAGCAGATTTGGGTTGGGAGGGTAGAGGTGGGATTAACATGAGGATGGGAGCTTTGGGCTAAGCCTCACTCTGAGCAGGAAGACTGGTGTTCTGGAATCATTTTCTGGGAATTCTTATCTCTTACTAGCTGGGAGCTCCTGTGCAGTGGAAATCCCACTCACTGCACTGTTTCCATCTCTCCTTCTGTTCACACCCCTTGGAGTCTCTTTATTTTTATTTTTCTTAATCCTTAGTTGAGGATAAGTTTATTGATTTTAGAGGGAGAGGAAGACAGAGAGAGAAACATCTATGTGAGAAACATCAATCAGTTGCCTCCCATACACACTCTGACTGGGAATCAAAGCCATAAACTTTTGGTGTGTGGAAAGATGCTCCAACCAACTGAGCTGCCCAACCAGGGCCCCTTGGAGTCTCCTTACATGCCACTCCCTTCACGCATGACTCAGGAGACCCAGCCTTTCTTCCTGCCCTTGGGAGTGTCATGGGGGCGGGAGGGACAACTGATTTCAGGGAGTCAGGCCCACCAGCAGCAGCAGGCAAGCCCTTGTTTCCTTCAGGGCTTCAAGGTCTCTGACTCTGAATAAGAGGAGGAACCACCATATGTCCCCTTGGGACATTGGCTGTGATGCCACCTGGTTGCTGATAGTCTTCTTCAATCTCAAAGAGAGCATCTTCCCCAAGATTTGGGTGAGTGGAAGTGAGACAGAGCATCAATGAGAGGTAGGGGCAGAATTCAAAGAAAGCTAGAGAAAGCTCAGCCCTTACTCCCCCAGCCCCAAATCCCTCACATTCATGGGCAAGAACATTCTTCTCCTATGTTATGAGCAGGATGGAGAAACCAATGTTCTGTGGCTTCTCTTGACCAGTTTTCCCAGTGCATCATTTAGCTTCCTGAGAAGAGGAACAGCCTGACCCAAGATGGAATTCTTAGGCATTTCCTGTGCCCCTGCCCTGACTCCCAATTCTTTCATAGCCAAAAGCCCACCCTGCCAAGTATGTACCCTCCCACTCTCTTCTGACCCTAACCCTTTCTCACCCTCCCATCCCTATAGCCTTCTTGTCTAGGTTAGCCTATCCCAGAGGCTTGGCAGCATGGGGAAGGGTAGGCAGAGGCACAAAGGAATGGGTGTTTTTTTCCCCAGCACTCCCCCTCCCCTGGGCTCCAGGAGCTGAGGGTTTCCTTGTCTCATCTCTGGAGCAAGGCATCAAGCCCAGCCCTGCCTGGCCCCACTCCAGACATTCCTGGGAGTGCGTTTCCCTGGAAACTGAATGACTCTGGGGTGTATATGCTATCTCTGTGCATCTGTGTAACTGGAGTTTGTTTATGTATCTCCGGATGTGTTGGTGACTTTGCACTTGTGTATCTCTGTTTGTTTCTTTCCTTGTGATCAGAGTGTTCCTGTAGATCAGAGTGTTCAAGAAGGGGGCAGGAGTGAATTCAGAACTGATGGTACCTAAGTGTCCATGTGTATATTCTTATGTATATATGAGTACTTGGCCACCTACCTATCTTTGGGCATATGTGCAAGAGGATCATTTTCCCTGTCTTGTTCCCCTGATACAGCCTTGTAGAGAGGACCCTCATCTTTGAAAAACAGAGGGCTAACCTAGAAATAATAAGGAGCCCACTCTGGCTGGGCCAGGCCTTAGATGGATCATTCTGGGCACTGTGCTCAGCCCTTGGCAACTTAGTGAGGCACACAACATGACTGGCAAATAGTGATGGGCTCTTCCAGCAGGAATATGCCTGGGTCATGGGAGAGATAGGTAGAAAGCAGATGCCAACCTTTAGCTAGAGCTATGGACATGGGAGCCTGAAGTGAGAGAGCCAGGGAGCTCTTGATTCCACTCCTGTACCTGGGTATTTTGGCATATCCTGTGCTGCCTTCTCTACAGAGCAAGAGGTGGATCTGGGAATAGGACCAAGGAAATGAGGAGGAACTTCAATCTGCTCTAGGCTGCCCTACCCTGGGACCACAGGGCCAGGCCACATGAAAGATCCTGGAGGGGACCTAGTAGGGGAGGGCCCAGAAAGCCACACACTCAGGGCCCAGGCTGTCTAGACAATAGGTCCTCATCTACTGCCAGCATTTGTTGCCAGCCCTTATTTCCATGTTTCCTTCACTCCCTGAGCCTCTCATTGGTGGGTAGAGGCTTGTGTGAGGGCCATCATGGGAAGCTCCCTGGAACATGGCTGGGGAGCCAGAATTCCTGGGTTATCTAGCTGCCTCCCTCTGGAATCCAGGACACTGAACCTTTTCCCCTCCCACCCACAGTTATTTCTTCTGTAAAATGGGAGAGAAGTCTCCAACTGTTCTCTAATACTGATAAAGATTTTGACTAATAAAGCTCAGAGGAAGGAGAAAAAAAAGCAAAAGCTCTGAGCTCTCCACTTCTTGTACCTGCTTCCTGCCCTATATCTTGCTGGTGAACATCCTCTGTATCTGTCTGGGTCTGTCTAGCTGGCCATCACAGTTTTTAGACTGATGAATCACTCTTCCTGAGGAGATTTTCTTTTTAAAGGCTTCCCCTGTTTTGCATTTGACTATATATGGTCCTTCATTTTTCCTTCAAAAGGGGAATAAGATGCACATGCATATGTGAGCGTGTGAGCCTGTGTATAGCAGTGTGGGTAGGTGTTCAGTAAGGGTAGAAAGATCACTTAATTATTCCTCTAAGAGGCTGACTTTTGATTTCAACCTGGAGTCTCTCCAGGGACTGAGTGAAAGGATATCTGTGCCTGAGTGAGTATGTAATAAGAGGGGGCTTGGTGCCCATGGGGTTGTATGTGTGAGAATAAATGTGTGTGGGAGACAGGGCATGTTTAACTGGAATGTTTGTGTGACTCAGAGTGTGTGTATCTTAAGTGGTGTCTGTGTGAGCAATTGTTGATGTATTTCTGAGAGCAAGTATGTGGGGCTGTGTGAGCTCTGAGCATATCAAGTGTGTCTGAGATGTCTGAGAAAACACAATGTGTCCCTTATAGTTCTGTTGTCCAGAGGTCAGGTCCCTGGAATAAGAGGTACTCTGGGCCCAGGCTGGGTGGTAGGTGCTTGCCTGGCCCAGAACCTCAGCCTGCCCCCAGGGGTTCCAGAGGCAGGTAGCACTGTATTTCCCAGATGGAAAGGGCTATGGACATGGGAGCCTGAAGTGAGAAAGCCAGGGAGAACTCTGCTGGGGCTAGCACAACTGGTGGCTGTGGTTGGGAGGACCCAAGGAAGTGGGCTGGCTTAGAAGGGACAGTGTTTTGATATCACTTGGGTTGTAGGGATTGGTGACCTGCTGGGAGTATGGGGAGCTGGGATGGCAGAAGTGTTTAGGATGGGACAGGAGCTAGACTTAGTGCTGTCACATTGCCCAGAGCACTGCCTTGGCCTGAACTCCCAGCCCAGGAAGGACTTTGTCACACAGCAGACAGGGACAGAGCTAGACCTTGTGACTTAACTGGATCCCTCTGAGTTCTGTTCTCCTCTCTGACATATGGACCCATGGAATGTCAGAGCTTATAAATTCTGCAGTTACGGAAGCCAACCTCCTCATTCTGTAGATGAGGTCAGAGGGTGTGACTGGCCCAGGGTGACCAGCCATGTAGGGGCTGATGTGGCCCCATCCCAGGCCTCTGGGAACTTCTTATCACAGAGGGCTCTCAGTGAGATCCCGTTTATTCTCACTCTTGCCTTCTGGCTCTTTACCCTCTGGTCTCTGTACCTACCTCTCACCTTTTCTTCTGTGGCTCCCCTTAAACCTTTCCACCCTGCCCTATTTCTACTCTTGCTCCTGGCACCAGAATCTGGAGCCCACACCCTCCCTGCATCTTCCCGCCCCGCCCTCTCCATCTTACTCCCCTCTTTTCTCCTCCATCACTTCCTCTTCCCCTCCTCCGCTCTTTGTCCCTCCCCCTGGCTCCCTTCCCCCAACGCTGGTGGCCTGTCTGCACCTCCCCGGGCATTGGTGGCGGCTCGCTGCCTGGCGGCTAACTGCTCCGATCCTGGAGCTGCTGGCGCGGGAGGTCCGCACCCCTTCTCAAAGGCCCCGGTCGGGCTGGGACCTGGAGGGTTCCAGCTAGTGGGAGCCAGCGGTCCCGAGGGCCTGTTTCGGCGGTGAGTCCTCAGCCTGGGCCAGCCGCAGACAGGCGTGGAATAGCTCGGGCTGGGAGGGGGTTGAGCAGGGGCAGTGAGGCCTTGGAGCCCCTCTTTGGGAGCTTGATTGAGCCCTGGCATTTCTGAGTGGGAGGTCTGGGTGTGGGGCCACTCCTCAGTGGGGCAGACCTTATCTTCCCCAGCACTGGGTATATGGGACCTGCCTCTGGATGGGGGTGAAGGGTCCTGGTTAGGATGAGGGGAACCTGTGTTATAGGCTAAGAGGGGTCTCTGATGGAAAGAGCTAAGACCCTTCCTTCCATCTTCCCTTTATCCCAGTCTCCCTTTGGCCAGTCCATTCTATTTATGCAGCCAGCAGGGCAGTGACTGTGGCTCTGTGAGTGTGTGAGCAGGTCTGCCTGTGCCTGTGTGCCTGTTTCTGTGAGGGTGTGTGAACCTGTGTGAGAGTGTGTCTGTGTGTGTTGTTTCCCCTCTGCATCTCAAGAGAGAGGATGCACCCTCTCCTTTGCCCTGTTTTTTTTTTTTTTTTCTTTTCCCTCTCCAGATGTGTAGCCGTACCACCCATCTGCACAGCACTGGGCCCTGAGCCGCTTTAGGGATGGGAGGCACTGACCAAACTTTGCCTGGATGAAAAGGGATTCTTGGGTTTCCTGATTAGGCTGACTTTTGGAGATGTGGGGCAGGAGAGAGTTGAGAGGAGGGTTTTTCCCAGAAATAGGCTGGCCAAGCCCCCGAGGGCATAGGACTAGAGTTGGGGCAATTACCAGGGCCCCTGAGTGCAAATAGAAAGTTAATTTGGGCAGGAGCTGGGCTACTCTCAGTCTTGCTGCCCTCCTGCCCCCTCTATTAATACAGATCCAGTTTTGCTGCCTGGCATCACCTATTTATAGGCCAGAGGCAGCATAGCCACACCTTCTGTATGGAGGAGGGTGAGGGACAGAGAAGGGGGCAGGGAACTCACAGCTGTAGGAGCTACAGCTAAGGGTCCCTAGCTTCCTTGGGTGGGCCTGGCACTGATGGGCTGGAATCTGTTCACACTTCCCACCTCCTTCCCAGATTGGACTGTGTGATCAGGCTCCTGATTCCCCTCCTTGGGTCGCCCCTCCCCCCCAACCCCCAACCTCCTGATTCCCCAATCAATCTAGGATTGAGTGGGTATGTGTAGACCCTGCAAACTGGCTGAAAAGAGGGGGAAAGGCCTGGCAGGGTTCTTTTAAAAACAGCTGTGGTTGTAATTAGGTGGATGGATGGTTAGCTATTATTTATTCTGGTTATGATTACTCTGGGGTCAGCTCCTCTGACTGGTGGCTTGTCAAGGAAGGCTCTCCCTCTCCTAACCAGCCATTAGCCATTAGAATTGCTGTTGGTGCCTCCCTGCCTGGGAGGGCCTGTGGGTGTGCCAAAGAAGTAGGTGGCTTTGTCCACTGTGGTTATCTGCTAGGGGCTTCTCAGTCTGCTAGGTTTCCCCACCCCCATGGCAATGCCCTGGGTTCCAGCCACAGGCTTCTCAGTGGGGGGCCTGCTAAGATATCCAGGTGGCCTGGGATGCCCCATGCCCTTGCGGCCTGAACTGTCTCAGTGTCTAGGAATGTAGATTTCCCTGCCAGTCTTAGCTTAGACTGACATGAAGCTTGGGGTGCCAGGTGGTACCAGATTGGGCAGATAGAAGGAGGCTGGGGTCAGGGGATAGAGATGTGAACAAATTGTAGGGATCTCTGGCTTCTCCAAAACTAGTGTCTTTCAAAGGAGTCTGCTAGCACCTGTGTGGCCAGGAGGAGGAGCTCTGCCAGCTACGCTTAGGTGTCTCTGGGCACACTTGCTGCTGTGCATGCTTCAGGTGCCCCTGGCTACATTTTCTGGCTCCTGCATACCCTCCACCTTCCATGCACTCCCACTTCCTGGGCAGGACTGGACTTGTGTCTATTGCCTGGGAATGTGCTTGGCTTAGGCTGGGCCCATTGGCTACATTCCAGGGGAGAACGTAGGAGCAGGAGGATGTCAGGCCAGAGGGTACATTGTCAGAGTAAAAGGGTGGTAGCCACTCCCACTATTGGAGTCAGGAAGCAAATTTTGTACCCTGAGGGGCACCATGGTTTTTCTCTGTGTCCTATCTCAGAGTCTTTTTGTGATCCTAGAAATTACTGCCTCTCAAGCTTACCCTTCCATCCAAGAGGCACGAGTACATGTCAGGTTGGGGGACAAGAGTGTCTATGTTCTCTGAAGAATTTTGTCCACTTGCAGAGCACTTTCACATGCACTGTCTTAGCTGCAATGTCAGTGGTATTGTCCTCATTTCTCTAAAGAGAAAACTGACCCCTGGCTGGCATAGCTCAGTGGATTGAGCGTGGGCTGCAAACCAAAGTGTCGCAGGTTCAATTCCCAGTCAGGGCACATGCCTGGGTTGCAGGCCACGGCCCCCAGCAACCACACATTGATGTTTCTCTCTCTCTCTCTCTTTTTCCCTCCTTTTCCTCTCTAAAAATAAATAAATAAAATCTTTAAAAAAGAGAGAGAAAAATGGACTCGGGGGGTGAAGTGACTTCACTTGAAGGCACCTTTTCACAGCTAGTAAGAAGAGTTAGGACTGGTACTTGGATCTTGGGACTCCTGGACCAGTGCCCTTTCCACTCTGGCCTGTGTTCTTGAGCCCTGCCAGTGCCTTTCTTAACTACAGGTAGGGTCAGGTGTGGATGGTGTGGACACTGAATGTAGGTAGGGATGGCTCTTTGGAATTTGGGATGAACCTGCTAGTGGGATGAGGGCTGCCTTAGCCCTGCCTGCCCTTCCAAGCGTTTTCTTTCTCTGAAGGCTGCATGTTGTGCCTGGGTCAGTCCACCTTCCTCCGCTTTAATCACCCAGCTGAAGCCAAGTGGATGAAAAGCATGATTCCAGCAGGGGGCCGGGCTCCTGGGCCCCCCTACAGTTTTGGCCCAGGTAGGTACCCAGTTGGGGCAGGAGGCTGGGTTGCTGGTACCCCCTCAATTGTCTTCCTCCTTGCCCACTCCAGCCATGCTTGTAGTGCCAGGGCAGGACAACACTCATGATCTGGGCTTTCTGCCACCTGCCATGGGCCACTGGTGGAGAATGCCAGGCACTTTGGCCACTGGGAGAGATGCAAGAAGTGCCGCTCGGCTAGAATTGGGGAATCACAAGTCTGAGAGATGGAGGACTCTGCCAGCTTGTGTCCCACTGCTCTGGAAGATGTTGCCTCAGTGTCTGAGACCTTGGTCCTCGTGTGTCACCACAATGGAGCCTTGCTCTTGCATGTGGCCTGAGGTGGGCAGAAGGAAGCATTAGGTTGAATCTGGGAAAGCTCTGGTGGTTCCTACCTGTTGGTGATCATGTCCTTGGGCCCTGTCCCACCCACTGCCCTGATAATGCCAGTTGATGACTCAGTGGAGCAGCCTCAGTTTAGGTTTGAATTATTGACCCCCATAGGAGAGTTGGTGATTATCCCAGGGAACCAGCACAGTTCCCCTCAGCCCAGCTGCCTGGGATTTGGGATGCAGACCAGGAGGCTGCCAGTGGGTCTACCATCCCAGACTTTGCATAGGCATTCAGATGGCTGTGGGATGGCAGGTATCAACATGGTATTGGAACAGGTGGACATGTATGGCAGTACACCTAGCAGGGTGATGCCAGTGGCTTAATTGGATAGTCTGGGGATCTGAGGAAAGATGGGTGGTCACTGGGATCACCAGTGTCCATGGTAACCCCTCTGACTGTTGTTCTACATAGTCCTTATAATTTTGGACCCAAACTCAGTCTTGTAAAGGTTTTTCTGTCTCTTTCTCTACCCCCCAGTTAGTCTCATGGGGGCTATGCCTGAGTTCCCAGTCCACTCCCTGGTTAGCTTTACCCTGCCCCACCCTAGCCTTGTCATGCCAACCCCTCATCTGTTTGGGGCAGTGGTTCCAGCTACTCTGTTGGTTGACCAGGGCTGAGGCAGGGCACAGGGAGGCTCTTGTTGGCGTGGCTTAATAGGTTAATTGGAGGCACTGAGCTGCACCTACCTGCTGGTCAGCCTGGCTTCCAGGAACTAGCCATCAGTGCCAAGCCCCTCACTTGCTTCTGATTAGACAAAGTGGTGCAGCACATGCCCCTCACTCATTCAGTCAGCCTTGGAGGCTTTGTGTGTGTTTTTTCATGGGTCTTGGCTACTGTGTTGGTAGCCCCTAATGTCCTATTAGGTTGGGATCCCTCCTGGGGCTTTTCTAAAAAAATAGATTTTATATATTTATTTTTAGAGAGAGGGGAAAGAAGGGAGAAATAGAGGGAGAGAAAAAACATCAATGTGTGGTTGTCTCTCTCACGCCTCCTACTGGGGACCTGGCCTACAACCCAGGAATGTGCCCTGACGGAGTTGAACTGGTGACCCTTTGGTTCATAGGTCGGCACTCAATCCACTAAGCCACACCAGCCAGGGCCCCTCCTGGAACTTGACAGCTCAATAGCATGCCCCCCTCCCTTTTGTAAAAGGTTCACCTGCCCTTCCTGAAGGAGAGATATAGGATGTTGGGGAAACCAAGGCAGGGAAGAACCTAGTCTTGGGGTGAGTACCTGGCATTATTGCTAACTCTGTCCTAAGTCATAAAATGTTAGAGCCAGAAGATTCCTACCCATCCTCTTCCTTTACATAAGGGAAAACTGAGGGCAAGTGACTTGGGTAAGTTTACACAGCAGGTCAGTGGCAGAGTTGGCACTGGAACCCAGGTCTCCTGGCTTCTCCAGAGCCTTTGCAGCCCAACTCTGCTAAGAAAAGGTGGGGGAGGGCCTTTGCTTTTGTGTATATGGACCTCCCCAAAGTCAAAGACCAGGACCTGAGGCATCTTTGCATTTTCTTTTAGCAGAATCAGAAAGCTTGGTGAATGGGAACCACACCCCACAGCCTGCAAACCAGGGGCCTTTGGCCTATGCCAGCCACAGTTCCCTGGTGAGCTCTATTGAGAAGGACCTGCAGGAAATCATGGATTCACTGGTTCTAGAGGAACCTGGAGCTACTGGCAAGAAGCCTGCTGTAACTTCCCCACTTTTGCCTATGGCTAATGGTGGTCGTTACCTGCTATCCCCCGCAACCAGCCCCGGCACCATGTCTGTGGGCTCCAGCTATGAGAACACCTCTCCAGCCTTCTCTCCACTCTCCTCACCAGCCAGCAGTGGAAGCTGTGCCAGCCACTCACCTAGTGGCCATGAGCCAGTACCTTCCATACCTCCGCTGATACCTGCTCGTTCCTCAAGTTACCATTTGGTTCTGCAGCCCCTACAGTCCCCACCTAGTGGTGGCCACTCCTCTGAGAGCCCTTGGCTGGGCAGGAAGGCAGGTAATGAGAGGCCTCTGAGCCCTGGCCTCCGGGGTCTGCTGACAGACAGCCCTGCATCTACTGTCTTGGCAGAGGCCTGCAGAACCACTGAGAAACCCTGGCTGGGTGGGCAGCTGCCTATGGTGGCTATCAGCCTGAGTGAATACCCAGCTTCCAGTGCCCACAGCCAATCCCCCAGCATTCCTGGCAGCCCTAAGTTCCAGCCTCCAGTCCCTATTCCCCAAAACAAAATTGGCACACTTCAGGACTGCCCTCCCAGCCATCTCCATGAGCTGCCAGGCACTGAGCGGGTGTTGAGGACTAGCCCCTCACGCCAGTTGGTGGGCCGAACATTTTCAGATGGGTCAGCCACGCGCACCTTGCAGCCTCCTGAGAGTCCCCGCCTGAGCCGGCGGGGCCTGGACAGTATGCGAGAACTCCCTCCTTTGAGCCCATCTCTGTCCAGACGGGCTGTCTCCCCCATGCCCTCTCGGACCACCCCAGATCCCAAACGAACCAGGGAAGTGGCAGAGAGTCCCCGGCTCCGGCGCTGGGCAGCCCATGGGGCTTCACCAGAGGACTTTTCACTGACACTAGGGGCACGTGGCCGTAGGACACGGAGCCCCTCGCCCACACTCGGGGAGTCGCTGGCACCTCGCAAGGGCAGCTTCAGTGGTAGGCTGAGCCCAGCCTACAGTTTGGGCTCTTTGACTGGGGCGTTGCCCCAGCAGAGCCCCCGTGCCCGGAGGAAGCTCTCCAGTGGAGACTTACAGGTGCCTGTCACTCGAGAACGGAAAAATAGCATCACGGAGATCAGTGACAATGAGGATGACCTTCTGGAGTACCACCGGCGGCAGCGCCAAGAGCGGCTTCGGGAGCAGGAGATGGAGAGGCTGGTGAGTGGGTGCCAGGGAGGTTGTTGACCTCCAGTGCAAGGTCTCTACCAGCATGTGAGCAGCCAGCTGGCAGAATGGGAGGGGCCCAGGGACCTGGGCTTCTCAAGCTTCCCCCAGGATACACCGTAGTGACTGGTATCTCAAGAGTCTGATGCCCTGAAGAACTTCCTTTGAAGTCTCTAAGGCTTTTATTTTAAATTCATACTAATTATGCATTTAGTCTATAACACAACTTTTGTTTACATGTGTATACTTTCATGTTATTTACCTGAATACCTTGAAGCTGTAGGGAAACACACCATGTATATGGTTGAGGCCTTGCACTCTTCAGTTTGAGAAGCAGGTCTGAGGCCCAGAGAGCAGAATGGGTTTTTCCTAGGCCACACAGCAAATTACACAGCTGGAATTCAAACCCAAGTTTCCTGTCTTTCCAAGTTTTGTTCTTTGGAAAAGCCCCTGGTCCTTCTTTCTTGCTTCACTGTGGCATCTATAAATGGCTAGGAGCTGTTTACCTTGGCCTGTGCAGGATCATCTGGGAGTGTAGGTGGCAGAAAAGAGGAAGAGAACAGGATGGGCAGCCCCTGGCCTGATCTGGGCAGCCTGTGTGATTGTATGTGTTGTGGGCATTTGGGGCACAGGTGTGGCTCTGTCCTAGAGAGAGCATCTGAGCTGGGTGAGGGTTGGATTCCCAGAGAGCGCAGGGAACTCAAGGCACTCTGCTGGTGTGTCCACACTTGAGCACATATACAACGGAATGAATTCTGCCCATTCTCTCTTGTGAGCAGAAGAATGAGGTTCCTGGGCAGGGCTTAGGAGCCCTGAGATTAGTTAGAGGAGGAGAATGAGAATTGAGGAGGTTTGTCTGGAGACCCTTTCGGAAGAGGTTGGGACAACTTTGAGTGAGGTAAAAATGTCAGGCAGTGTGTTTGTGTTGGGTGGGGAGAGATGAGTCAGGATCCCCAGTTTTCTCTTACTATATCTTCTCTTCACTGCCTAGATAATAAAGCTTGGCCCACTGTGGGGGCTCATTCTGGCGAGGGACCAGTGAGCCTGGCAGAAGGAGAGTCGTGGCTCAGCTTCTTCCAATTCCTCCATTCAGTTTCCCTACCCCTCACATGAGCACACACCTCATCACTAGCCCTGACCTGCCCCACCTGCCACTTTAAACCTTGGAGGCTGCCCGCCTTGCCCCTCCCACCTCAACCAGGCTGCTTATCTGGGCACTGAGGTAGGGGTGGGGGCACTGGCCCAGCCTCCTGGGTGCTGAGGGTGTTCCTGTTTTAATTTTTATTTTTGCCATGGAATTGGGCAAACAACAGCAGGGAAGCTGGGTAAGTGTCTAGGGGGTCATGGCCAAATTGTACATGGTGGGATACAGCTGAGGTTGAGGGACCCTGGTGAGCCATGGGGGAGGCTGGAGTGTTATGAATGGGAAAGGGGGACACAGACCTGGAACATGATTTTACCTTCCTTCCTTTATATCCTAGGCCCTGAGAGATATATCTTGGGTGGGCTGTGTGTGGGGAGGGGCCAGACTAAGTGTCAGGGCCATGGAGCACTCACATGGGCCAGAGCATTTAAGCAGTCCACCCTGCTGAGAAGGAGCCAGGAGTTGAGGGCTGCCTGAGTGACTTGGAGTGGAGGTAGAGATGAGGAGGACCATGTCCCAGGTCTGTCTGGCAGGTGTATGCATGCTGAGTACTTCTTTGTGTGAACTTTGTCAAGTCCCTGTGGGCTCAGGGGTCTGTTTTCCAGCTCTGTGTCAGTACCTACCTGTCTTTATGCTGGGCTGTGTTTACTGTGTAAGTGTGAATCAGTGTGCATTGTGCATGTCAGGGCTGATGTTTTTGTGTTTACCTGCCTGTTAACACAGGCCCAGGGCACATGTTTTGTCCTCTGTCAGTGGTGTGTGGAGTGTCTCTAATATCCCCTTGTGTCGTGGATCGTCATGTATTCGTGTCAGCATGAATGCTTGAGTGTTTATCTGTGTCTCATTGTGGTCTTCAGTCTGCTTACCAGTGTGTGTTCCCAGGTGCATCTGGGTGTGTCCTACCCTGGGATGAGAAGGGAAAGGAAAATGGAAGACAGGGAGGGCTAGCCATGTGAGCAGATGACACAATAGCCTGCTTTCTCCTGCTCATTTCTGGGCAGTCTCATTCCCTCTGCCTCTTTAAACCTTGTGTGGGGTGGGGGGTGACTTTCCTGGCCTGATTCTGAGCCTCATGCCCCTAGTGTCCTAGTTCTCTCTCTTGGCAGGACACTGTGCTTGGCCCTAGCCCTGCCTCCTCCTCTTCATGCCCTGCTCTGTCTGTTTACACTTCCCAGGAACGGCAGCGCCTGGAGACCATCCTCAACCTGTGTGCAGAGTACAGCCGGGCTGATGGGGGACCTGAGGCTGGGGAGCTGCCCAGCATTGGGGAGGCCACTGTAGCATTGGCATTGGCAGGCCGGAGGCCCTCACAAGGCCTTTCAGGGGCCATTGTAACCTGTGGGCGGAGCAATGAGGAGCCTGGAGGTACCACCCAGCGCCTGTGGGAGAGTGTGGAACGCTCAGATGAGGAAAATCTCAAGGAAGAGTGCAGTAGCACTGAGAGCACCCAGCAGGAGGTGGGATGTTAGTGGGTGGGCTGGGTGAGGGCTGGGCAACCACAGGAGGCAGAGCAGGCAGGCATTTGTGGTGGTGTTAAGCCCAGTGATGGGACGTGATTGAAGGATTCAGTTTGAGATGGGATCAGGTATGAGAAGTGTAGAAATGGGGCAAGGAAGTGAGGGAGGTATTGATTAGTTTGCCAAGCTATAAATATGCTTTATTCCTGCCTTTCCTTGGACCCCACCCAGGTCTGGCACTCAGCAGTAAACCTTTTTTTAAATCCTCACCGGAGGATATATTTATCGATATGAGAGAGAGAGGAAGGGGGCAGGGGCGGGGGGAGAGAGAAACATGGATGTGAAAAACATTGATCAGTTGCCTCTCATTTGTGCCCCAACCAGGGGTTGAACCTCCAACCTAGGTATGTGCCCTGACCCAGAATCGAACCTGTGACCTTTTGGTATAAGGGATGATGCCCCAACCAACTGAGCCATTTGGCTTAGTGGTAAATCTTTATGCCATTTAAATGAGTCTGTATTGCTCCCCATGCAGGGAGGGGAATTTGCTTTCTATGTCAGTCCAGTTGACCCTTCCAAGTGCCCTGAGGAATGGGGATCCATTCTGTTAGTCTCATCTTGGAAGGCTCTAGACTTCTCCAGTTGATGGCTTCCCTCCCTTCCAGCACGAAGATGCACCTAGCTCCAAGCTCCAAGGAGAGGTGTTGGCCCTGGAGGAGGAGCGGGCTCAGGTGCTGGGGCGAGTGGAGCAGCTCAAGGTCCGTGTAAAGGAGCTGGAGCAGCAACTGCAGGAGTCAGCCCGAGAGGTAAGCCTCAAGGACTCTGACAGAGTGAAGGCCCCAGGAGTGGTGTGAGTCCAGCTGCCTTGACTGGCCTTGATGTGGACCCTGGTATTGCTCCCAGGCAGAAATGGAGCAGGCGCTGCTGCAGGGGGAGAGGGAGGCAGAGTGGGCCCTGCTGCAGAAGGAACAGAAGGCAGTGGACCAGCTGCAGGAGAAGCTGGTGACCTTGGAGACGGGCATCCAAAAGGAGAGGGACAAGGTAACCAACACATGGCCTCACTCATGCTGGGGAACAGTGGCCTAGGAGAGAAGGAGAAATGTCTTCTCTGGGGCCCCTTACCCCACCCCTCGTCATCCAGCCTATAGACCAGGTGGTCTCTGTGCCACTCCAGGGGTAGGGACTTTGTCCTCTGTGGAAGGTACCAGCTTGGACATCACTGTGGGCTGGGCTGGTGTCTGGGGTCTCCTCTGTCTGGGTCTCTGTGCTACCTCTGGGTGCCTGGGTGCCTGGGTGCCTGCCATTCTGGATTCTTCATGGACCTTCTAGGAAGTACCAAAACCTCTTCTTGGGCAGTAAGCACAGAGCTGAGGGACTGGTGTTGGAGTGTGATTCAGGTTTGGGTCCCTCCATCTGGAGAGTCTCTCCAAGCATGCTTTATGTGCTCAGGAAGTGGTGTTTGGGAGGTGGCCCTTGGGACGCTGCTCCCTCTGAGCCTTCAGAACCTGTAGTCTCCCATTCCAAATGGTCCCAGCTCCCGCCCCTGCCCATTTCAGATTTCGTGCTAGCCTGCAGGGGCCACTCCATCCCACAGGGTCCATGCCAGCCATGCCCAAGATGCCCTACAGCGTGCCAAAAAGCTCTGAAGTGGAGAGGGGCCATCTGTTTTTGGACTTGACAGTATTTTCCCAAGAATTAATTTTCCTCCTGCATTTTTTGAGAGTGTCTTTCTCCTTCCTTCAATTTTGAAGCTCTTAAAAATTCTTTGACACTCCTGTTTTTTTGAGCTTTGGCTTTGGCCCCCAAAACCACACTCCCAAATTCTGTGCCAAATTAACTCCATGCTTACCAAACAGGCCTGCACTAACGTCCCCCACTTTCCTCCAGTCACTGTCGTGGGCTCTCCGCATGCCCCTAACTGCCAGTGCCACCCAACCGGGGCTGAGCCATACCTGCTTTTGCACTAACTCCATGGGCCCTTGGCCTCTCCCCTCTAATGCTGCCTTCTTCCTTGGTGTGGGACCCCAAGGTTTAGATCAGAGAGGCAAGGGGCACAGCTCAACTTTACTTGGTGGGGAATTAGTAGGGTGGGTACAAGGTTGGGGAAATGCTTGGCTGAGGAGCTTCTCAACCTCCATTTTCCAAATGGGAAGAGCTCCTCCCATTTGGAAAAGCCTGGGTGTTTCCTCCACAGACTGTTGTCCTCCAGCCATCCACCCACCTTCCCTCCAGAGCAGGGGGGTAAGGAGGTATAGTTGTGTCATGGCTTGTAGAGGGCTGGGACAGGGACTCTCTGCCACTGCCACACTCTCTTCCCCTTGGGGCTTCCCAAATTCAGATACCTCAAGAAGAGGCAGCCTCTCCTCCTCTCCTGCCCCTAAGTCATCTAGAACATAGGTTATTGTAAAGGCTGAGTCCAAAGATGGGGAAGTACTTAGATTCCAGGACTGAACTGATCAGGTCTTCCTCTCCAGGGATGGGGTGGAATATATGGGTGGGTGGGGGCAGGGTTCAGCATAGGTACTCCCAGGTGAAGCCCATGGTTTCAGAAGGAACCTCATTTCTCATTTACCTGGCATTGCATGGAGGCCTGGACTTTATCACTTCTCTGGGCCCAGTTATTTGAGGTGGTAGTGGTGGTGGTCTCACTCAGCTTTCCTCTCCAGCCCCTAGCCCATAGCCCCACTCTGGCTTTGGAATCAGTAGTCATAATTTCTCCTCTGCCTGTCCTTAGGAGGGGTGACTCACCAGCTCCTCCCCTCCCTTCCCTGCCCTCAGAGGTGTCATCTCGGCCCAGACAGAGCCATCCACCTCCACTCTGTACCCATCCCCCACCTGTTTCCATGGCAACGCCTGAACTAATTGCAGCCCTCATTCTGCTGAAGTTCAGCCTGCTGTGCCAACACCCCACCCCCACCCTGGGCAGGAGGGAGGGAGGCCAAGGGTGTTGGGCTTGGGTCCCCTCCACTGCACTGCTGTAGCTTTATATCCTCAGCTCCTGATTCATACCCATCCCCTGGATTTAACCCTCACCATGTCCATCCTTTTTTCCCCAGGGTTAAATTTTGGTCTCTGGGCAGTGGAAGAAGGGGAAGAACAGGAGCTAGAAGCTCCCTATTTGTGATGTGGAACCACTTTTATAGCCTTGACTGCTTTGGAGAGAAAACAGAGGGCCTTTTCTTAGGACCTACCCAAATGTTTCTGGTTTAAGGGACTCCAAGAGACCAAAATTTCTGCCTGTGGTACACCATCCTCTGTACTTCTGAGGCCTTATACCTCAGCTCCTTGCTTCTTCCCCTCTTATTTCCCCTTTCTGCTCTTTTCTTTCTCCTTTCCTGGTTATTCTCTTCTATTCCTCGTCTTTTTTTTCTCTTCTCTCCCACCCCCATTCCCCACTTCCTGTTTCTCTCTCCCACCCTCCCTGCCCCCTCCCCATGGCCCCTGCTGCCTGCCAGGACCGGAGTTGAGGAGTGTGTGTTCTGTTTCTCCCCCTGTGCCTGCCCTCTCCCCCTCCCACCAACCAGGAGAGGGTGGAGCTGGCCACGGGACGGAGGCACCTGGAGGCCCGCCAGGCTCTCTACGCCAAGCTCCAGATGCAACTCGATAACTGCCCCGAGTCAGTGCGGGAACAGTTACAGGAGCAGCTGAGAAGGGTCAGTTTCACCAGCCCCTTTTCCCCAGCCCTGAGGGCCACCTGCCCGGATGAGAGGAGAGCGAGTGGTGGGACAGGACCACCTGAAGTACTTGCCAGCACACCAGGGTCGGTGCTTTGGTTTGGAGGGGACAGGGAAGGATTGGGGAGATCTGTTTTCTCCTTTCTCCTGCTCCAGGCAGTGATGCCTGTGGAAGGGGCAAAGCCAAGCAGAGGAAAGGGGGTTGGATGGGCACAGGTCGTTCCCCAGTTTTCCCAGGTCTAGCCCCTAAAACTAACACCTCTGTGGCCTGGCCTTCCAGGCTCAGAGTGTTATTTTGAGCACAACCCAACCCCCTCTGTCATTATTTTTCAAGGAGGCAGAGGCTCTGGAGACAGAGACAAAGCTCTTTGAGGACTTGGAGTTCCAGCAGCTGGAGCGGCAGAGCCATGTGGAGGAGGAGCGGGAGTTGGCCAGCCAGGGGCTTCTCCTGAGCAAGGCTGAGCTGCTCCGCAGCATCACCAAGAGGAAGGTGTGTCCTGCCCCATTCCCTGGGTGGGGTTGGAGGCCAGTGACCTGGGTTTGAATCCCAGTTGATGATCTCATGAATGTTAACTTCACCTCTCTGAGCTTCAGTTTCCTCATCATAAAATGAGAACAGCAACAGGCTGTTGTGAGAATTAAACCAAGATGATGTGAAGACAGTAGAGGATATGATCATAGTAAGCACTCAGCAAACTATGGCTATTGTTATTAAACCCTGACTCCCTGAGTCTTTGGTGGAAAGTAGATTGGGCTCACATTCTGAACTGGGCACTGGCTGGGCAGTGAAAGATGGAGATGGAAGAGGCTGAACAGTAGGCTTGTTCCTGCCCTTGCAGGGTTCTCTGTCTGGGATGTGTCCAGAGACCTAAGACCTGGATATTATTAGAGTCAGCCAGGGGTCCGAGGGAGGGCATCACCTGGGTTTCAGTCTTGGCTCTGCCCTGGGTCAGCTGAGCCATAAACCAAGGGGACTGGCTATTGTATCTTGGCCAGCCCTGGATCTCCAGATGCTGTGATTGCTTCTGATTTCAGCCAGAGCAGGACAGGGTGATGGGGCAGAAACGTGTGTGTGTGAGTGTGGGGAGTAACGTTGGGAGGAGGCATATGTCAAGCAAGGGTTAGGAAGATGTCGAGAAGGAGAACTGGAGGAGGGCTCAGGCAGCTCACGTGCTTGTGGCTGAGATGTGTGTGTACATGCGCACATGCATGCCTGTGCAATTTGCCTGGCTGGAGTAAGTGGTGGGAGGTGAGGACAGTGAGATCAGAGAGGGGTGTCAAAAAGTAGTGAGTTGTGTGCTTGAAGACTAGCCTGGGTTTGGTGGGAAGTGGGGAGCTGCTGGACCACCCCCTGAATTCAGATCCCTTGCTTCTCTCGCTGAGCTGCTCTGCCTTATAAATGCATCTACTTCTTAGTAGTGATGTGATGAAAGGAAGAAAACTAGCCTTTCCCAAGCACATGGGTATGTGTCAGGCAGCTCTCTTGTATTATCTCATGCTGACCTTAGGATGGTCTCCTAAGCCCAGTACTCTTACCTTATTTTAAAGAAATATCAATTTGTCGTTCCACTTATTTATTCATTCATTGGTTGATTCTTGTATGTTCCCTAACTGGGGGGTCGAACCTGTAACCTTGGTGTATGGAGATGATGCTCTAACCAACTGAGCTACCCAGCCAGGCCTCTTACCCCATTTTATATATAGAATTGGGCAAAAAGTAGGTTTATAATTGTTCATATGGAAAATTCTATAATAATTAATAATAATACAAAAATAAGCTGTGTTTTGCATTACAGCTGTAAACCTACTTTTGCCCCACCCTGTACAATGAGTGCAGAGACTCTCTAGAATTGCCCAAAACTTCCCAATCTATAAGCTTCAGACTTGGAATGGGAACCTAGGCCTGCCTGGCCCCAAAGCCCCTGTTCCTTCTATACTATACTGCACTGGGTTTGGGAGTTGGCACTTCTCTGGCCTCTTTCTCTTTCCTTATGGAGAGATTGCATCTGGGAGCCTTAGATCAGCTAATCCCATCACTTCCGGTCACGGTGAGTATAAGCTCCAGGGAATTTGGGAGGGGTCAGCAGTATGAGACTCCTGATCCCTCATTTCCCATGCCCACCCCAGGCCCCTAGAAAATTGGAGTTCTGTCACTGGGACCTAGGGGTCATATTCTTCCCTGTGCTTCTCATTTGCCTTGCTCCTCTTTAATCCTTGGCTTGCAGTTTCCCACCCACCCCAGTTTCTATCTACCCTGCTGCCCTGTGCTTCCCTGTCCTCTATAGTCTGTTTCAGAGTGGTTCAGAGTATGTCTTTGGTGTCCAATAGATCTGGTTCTGCTCCTAGCTCTGCCACTTACCAGCTAAGATACCTTACCTCCTAAATATGTCAGTGTTCTGATCAGTAAAATGGGCATAAAGGCACCTGCCTCATAAGAGGGTAAAAGGAGGTAACAAATACAAAGCATTTAGCAGAGTTTCTGGGTCCTAATAGGTTCTCACTAAATTGTAAACAGCAGATCTTGCTGCGAGGCTTACTGCCTCCTCTGCTTCAGTCTTTTCTTGGGCTGACCCCAGATTTGGGTCAGCTTCCTCCTTTCCTCCCTCTTTCCCATGTCTTGCTCTTTTTTAAAAAAAAATTTATTTTAGTTGTTGTTGCAGTACAATTTTCTGTCTTTTACTCCCATCCCAACCCACCCACCCTTTTTTTCTAAATTGTATTTTAATTGTTGTTGCAGTACAATTTTCTACCATGTCTTGCTTTTAATGGTGGTAGTTTAATGCCATCTCTTTCAGGAAGTTTTCTTGGAGCCAACCCACCCATTTTTCCCAGCCTCCATCCTTTTCTCTCACTAACTTTTTTTTTTTTTTAAGAACATGGATTTTGAGTCAGGCATTGGCTAAAGCCCTATTGGGGATGTGGAGATAGAAAAGACACTGGCCCTGATCTTGGATCTGACAACCTGGGTGGGGTGGTGTTGATGGAGACATATATTCACAAGTAAGAGTAATACAAGGCAAATGGTGGAACAAAATAATCTGAGCACAGGAGAAACAGAGAAATTGAGTGGTGATCAAGGAAGATGTTAGAGAAAAGATAGCATTTGGTCTGGTCTTGGAGGATAAGTAAGCCCTTGATGGGTGAAGAAGACAGGAATAGCTCTTCTAGGGTAAGGGAACAGTTTAAGGCCTGAGTGTACACAACTTCACAGCTGAATGTACAACACGGCAGGACTCAGAACACAGAGGGCTCAGGGTAGGAGGGAGCTGAAAAGTGTAGAGCCAGTTCTGGGAGCCTTGAGTTCTGGTTTAGGAGTTTGTGCTTTATCCTGGGAGTAATGAGGAATCATTGGAGGATTTTCAGGAGTGATCTAACTTTACTTGTGGATTTTTAAAAAATGATTTAAGTAATGCATATTGTCCTTAGGGAGATTAGAAAATTCAGATAAGCAAACAAACAAAAACAAACCTCAAAGACCATTTAAACAAACCTCAAAGACCACTTCAGAAAGGTGTTTGTGGCAGTGTGGACTGGATCACAAGGCTGAGACAGTTGGAAGCAGGAGGCTGGTGAAAAAGTTCAGGCTAGGAAACCAAAGGGCCTGGATTTGGGTGGTGGCAGTGGAGGTGGGATGGGGGCAAAGGGGTAGTTGGAGACTGTTCAGTGTCTGCAGGATTCTGGACTTGTTGACTGTGGGGTTAGAGGGGAGGGAGGTTTGGGGACTTGGGTTCTGGCTGGTATGCCTGGTGACACAGGGGTCATTGGTCAAGGCAGGGATGGGAGAAGGGGCTGACCACAGCAGCAACCTGGCTTTTCCTGGGGTAAGTTGAGGCCAAGCAGGAGAGCTGGTTGATTGCCTTCACCCAAGGCCAGGGTCTCTCAAAGTGGCAGGAGAGATAGCCAAGCCTCACTGTGGGCTCAGCCCTGTCTCTCCAGGGCCTGACTGACCAACCCCCTGTCCTCCAGGAGCACCTGGCAATCCTGGACAGTCAGGCTGGGCAGATCCTGGCTCAGGCTGTGCAGGAGTCGGAACGCCTGGCCCGGAACAAGAATGCCTCCCTGCAGCTGTTGCAGAAGGTAGCTCAGCTGGGTGGGGAGGGTGGATGGGGGAGGAGGAAGGTAGTACAGGATTCCCCCCTTGCTTGGGCTTCCTTGCTGTCACTCCACTCCTTTTTGATTCTCTGCCACTTTGGACTTGCAGGAGAAGGAGAAAGTGACTATGTTGGAAAGAAGATACCACTCACTCACAGGAGGCAGGCCTTTCCCAAAGACCACATCGACCCTCAAAGAGGTAACATGGTTGGTTCAGCCCAGTTTCAGGCCCAAGGGTTCTCCTGGGAGGCTCTGAAGCAACATGTGGTACTTTCACCCTAATGGCTGAGACTGAGTATGGGGACATTTTCCTGAATGGGACAAATGCAAATTGGAATGGTCCTGAGGTCTGGGACCCTCTATGGCTACCAGCTACTTCTGTTTAGTTACCTTTCAGGCTTCCAGGAGCCCACTGATCTTACTATTTTTGATGGCTGAATACATTGTGAAGAGGATGGGGTATTCAGGGGTTTGGAAAAGGCCAGGGCTGGGCAGACTTACCTTCAGGGGGAGCATAGGGTTCTACTGGTCCTGATCTTAGAGTCCCTGGGCCTTGGTCTAGAACTAGGCTCTTAGTTCAGAAGTGGGCATTTAGAAAGAATGGCCCCTTAAGCCATTCTTTCCTGAGTTTTTTCATGCCTGGTGTGTGAGTTCCAAAGAGGACATGCCTAGTTTTCTGCACCCTTTCCTTTCCTCCCTGCCTCACTGCATGAGCAGTTTAGGCCTGGGATGAGCCTAATGGGATGGGGTGGCTGGGCTGAGTATGAGAGCTAAGATCCCTTACCACGTACCCTTTCTATAGGCTGAACTGCTCATCTCTGAGTCCTCGGAGAATGAGCTGGGGACTGCGGCTCTGAGCCTATTCCCAGGGTCATCTAAGGCTGGTGCCTCCTCTGTCCCTTTAACCCCACCTGCTTTCACTCAGCTCTGCCCCAAAGCACAAGAGGTAATCACAGCTAACTGCTTGCTCTGCTGTGTTCACTGCCTGTCTGCCTGCTTGCTGAGCTCTTGCCTAGAGCTTCTCTCAAGGGCCCAGCTGAAGGGTGTGTAGCAATAATCCTTTGGCCAGAGTTTGTAAGTTTGAGTGAATGTCCGTGTGTCTGGGCAGCCACTAAAAAATCAGAGTATCCGTTTGCATATTAATTTGTGTGTATTCTGCATGCCATTTGTCAGTTTTCACAAACACTGGACCCTCTAGCTCATTTTCATTTTCTGCGACCCCTGGAGGACAGTTGGCCTCTGGAGCTAGGCCAGAATGGGCTCCCCCTGGATAGGGCCAGCTCAGGACCCTGTGCTTTGATTCAGCATGCATTTTGGACAAGATCGGGCACATTCAGGGTGGTATGGCTATAGACTCAGCGTGTATCTTAGATGCCTGCTATGCTCCCAACACCTGGATAAGCTCAGGGCTCTAAGGATATGCTCAGGAAATATGACAGTTCTTGGCCTTCCAGCCCCCAGTGTAATGTGCTAGCATCTTTCCAAGTCCTAACCCTTGGGCACTGGCCCGTTTTGCTTTTCGCTGCTTCCTGCCAAGGCCTCTTTTTCAGAGCCCATCTTGCTCAAGCCCTAGAGGTGTTTCCACCCTCAATCCTAAGAGCCACTGCTCCGGTAGATAGAGTGCAAGGCAACCCTCTGGAATGGTGTGACTGGTGTTTGATGCTATGTGTGTGTGCCCCAGTAGGGGTGCCCAGGGTGTTGGGTCCTGGTGGGTTCTTGGAAGGCCCTTCCTAGGCTTCTTCGCCTGCCCCTAGCCCAGGCCAAACCCAGGGATGGGCCTTCAGGGTCTGCTTGGAGCAGGACCTAGATGCCAAGGCAGCCTCAGAAGTGAATGTCAAGAAGAGCCCACACACACTAGCTCTGCCTTCCCTTTTTTTGGACCCTTACTGCCCCCACAGCCATCTGTGGTTACAGTGGACAGTTGAGCTCCCCACCCCTCATCTAGATTTTGTATGGAATGAATGATGGCTCTAAGACGTGAACTTTGGGTATCTGGTACCTGGTTAAACCTGTTAACTTCTCTGCCTCCCCTCCCTGCCCACTGGGCACCCTTGGAGTATGAGTCTGGCAGAGGTTCTCTAGCTGTGCTCTGCTTGGACCCCCTAGGCTTCTGCCCCTCCCTACCCACCGTAGTCTCTCCCCTACCCCCAACCTCCCACATGCTCACCCAGCCCCTTCCTGACAGGGAGGTATCAGCTTGTGCCCAGGGACTTCCTCATGGATGCCCTCAATTTCTCCTCAGGCCTGGGTTGGGGGCAGTGAGGGAGAAGGGCAGCTGGCATAAAGGAGGCTGGGAATGGTTCTCTCTCTTCCCTAAGGCTCAGGGGTTTTCTCTAGCTTCTGACAGCTCACACAGGAGCAGGCCTTCTGCTGTAGCACAAAGGCATCCTGTTGAGAGGCCTCTGGCTTCCCTGGGTTATGCAAGCCTCCTCTGCTTTGCGCTTCCTACACTTGCCCTTCCCTTGCCCATGGACAATACCATCTCTTGGGTTCCAGTCCCATGAACCTCTTGTATTCCTTCCCATGTCCTGGCCTTCTTCCAAGTGTGTGATGCTTGAGTAGCGAAAGGCATTGTGGGGCACCTTACCTGTGCCTACAGCCCCTGGGCCAGGCCTGCCTCTCTGAGCCCCTGCCTCCCAGGACCTGGCTCCCACCACCTGCCTTCCTCCCATTCTGCTTTCTTCCTTCTCCTTTGCTTCTCTCACACCTTCATCCAAGGTTGGTGGTCTGTGTGTTCCTACCATGCCCAGCCCATTACTGTCTCTGTGTTTTGACACTTCTCTCTTATCTTCCCAGCTCTAGGCCAGCCCCAGGGGATGGGTCAGTGCCCTTAGCACATTCACAACAACTGTTTTTTCTTCCTTCTCTTTATGTTCTTTTTTCTCCCTTCCTTGCCTGCTTCCCTCACCTTCCTGTCACTTTTTCTGATAATTGCTTTCCTTTAACCTTCCTCCAATCTTCCCCTTTCTTCTCCCTTTTTCTTTCCCCCCATTTCCTGATTTTTCCTCTCCATCCTTCCCCTCTTGTACCCTGTTGCCCTCCCCATGCTCTCCTCTAGATGGAGAAGCTGCTGTTCCCTGCTGTAGACTTAGAGCAATGGTACCAGGAGCTGATGGCCGGGCTAGGGACTGGCCCCACTGCAGCCTCCCCTCGCTCCTCCCCCCCGCCTCTGCCCACCAAAGCTTTTTGTCAACTCCAGGTAACCCCCTTCTTTACTGCCCATCCCTCCCCCATCCTTGCTCCTCACCTCTCTGGGTACCTCCTGCCAATCCATTAGTCACACAGGCAACCTTAGATTGTTGAGGGTAAGTCCAGCCAGGGCATCATGGGGTCTCTGGACCTTGAGATGGCAGTGAGGGTTTCCTCATGGGCAACCATCCTGGCATTTTGGGAAGCTGGAGAGCTAGTTTCATAAGTCCCGAGGTAACATGATTGACTGTCCAATAGGGAGGGTTTGGGAGCACTGGTCAGGTTGAGATCTGTTTGGTGCCTTGTGTGGGTTAGACTACTGCTGCTCTGTTCTTGGCAGTCCTCAACCCCAGAGCTTCTCACCCAGTCTGGGGACCTAACACACTCTTGAGCCTGTTGCACCCTGTGAGAACTGCCAGCATTCTGCTCTCCTGGTCTTTCCAGGGGTGACACTTGTAGGCAGGACAGAGAGGGACAAAGACTTTGAAGTGATAGCCCTGAGGACATGCCTAACCTTGAGTCTCAGAGTTGCCATGGAGGGCCTGGGCCTACCTGAGCCTGCAGCAAGCTGCTGACCAGAGGGTTGGGAAGGAGTATTTGGATAGTCTTCTCCCCCAGGTTTCATTCCACTGACCTGCTGCAGTGCCTAAGACCCCACCATTCAAGATTCAGTCCTTGAGTGAAGGCATTGTGCCTCTAAGACTGATCTGAGCTGAAATTCCATATTCCCTTTGGGAGGAGTTTGTTTCATGTAATGTGGGGCACCTCTCCTTGTGCCCAGCTGGCTAGAGATTTTTTAGTGTTTTGATTCACTTAATCACCATAGGACTTTGAACTAGATATTGTTAACGTTTTACAGATCAAACACTTGAGCTCAGAGAAGATAAGTAATCTACCCAAGACAACACATCTAGGAAGTAGCAGAGCCTATGCTGAGAATTAAGGATTCTTAACTCTGAAGACCATATCCACCAAACATTAATGCTGTGAATGAGCTTGGCAGTTACTCAGTCTAGCCATTCCCACTCCTTTTCCAAGAAGGAATCTAAGGCCCAGGTTGGGGAGATGCATTGCCCAGGGTCACACAGCATGTTAGTGGCAGAGCTTGGACCAGAGGGAACCTTGTCCTCTAGTTGGTCTTCTGTACAACTCTTCCTAGGCAATGTGCATAGGTCCACTTACAGAGTTCTCTCTAAGACGCAGGGTTGGACCAGGGATTGCCCCAAAAAAGAAAAGTCTGGAAAGGAGGCTAGGCAGCTGCCAATATCTGCCTATTGGGCTGGCCCAGGAGGCTCAGTGTTGTTGTCAACTAGAGACAGAAGCCTGGTACCTGAGCAATAACTTGGATCCCAGCCTATGAGACCAGGGGCGAGGGGAGGGGGGTCACGGTGGTAACAGTAGGGGAGCTGGGACTTACCAGGCAGTATTTCTTCCCTCTAGGTTTACCGCTCCAAGATGGATGGGGAAGCAACCAGCCCTCTGCTCCGTAACCGCAGTGGTCCCCTTCCCTCTTCCTCTGGCTCTTCCTCCTCCTCTTCCCAGCTCAGTGTGGCTACCCTGGGTCGTAGCCCCTCCCCAAAGGTCTGAGGACAGTGGGTGGGCTGTGTGCATAGGAGGATGGTGGTGGTAGGGTAATGGAGACTCCTACAACGGGGAGAGGCCAAAGTCACCCATGAAAGCCTTGGCGGGGGTTCTTTTGAGCCTCATGTCCCATTGTTCCCCCTCCCTCCAGGGTGCTCTACTCACCCAGAATGGCACAGGAAGCCTTCCTCGCAACCTGGCAGCCACACTGCAGGACATTGAGACCAAGCGCCAGCTGGCCCTGCAGCAGAAGGGTGAGTGGCTGTAATGCCAGCCCATCTGCTTTCCTGGGGGCCCTAGATATCTGCCCCCCTTGCCTTCCCCCATATCTCATTCATGCCCATACCCTTCACAGCATGTTTTTCTTTCATTGGGACCTAGGCAAGAGCAGAAAGGATTTAGATTATATGCCTAAAGGAGACTATAGGGTTTTGGAATCAGGAGGCTGAGATCTTTCCTAGAGGGCCCAGCGAATAAAAGGAAATGGTTTTTGACCTGAGTGGGCATATGTGTTGCCCTGTCTGGAGACAGGGGGATGGACTTGACCTCCGGAAATGGTTCCCTAAGACATTATCTCTGGAGACCCAGGAGTCCTCGTTGCTGGAATGTATTTTGGTTGTTTTGAAAGCCCATGTCTGTGCCTCTGTTTCCTCTCACCCACTCTGTGCCTCTCTACTCTGCCCTCTGCTGGGGTCCCCCACACCAGTTGAGTTGTTTCCTGCCGAACCCCTCTTAACTGACAACCCAGCAGGTACACTGTTGATCACTGAGGACATTGCTTTGGCCAGGCAGCCTTTGCCCAGGCAGCTGCATGATGTATTCTGTCCAGGCCCCCACTGCCCATAGGCAGGCTCGCAGGCTGAGCTGGGGTGGGGTGTCTGGCTGCCTCATTCCTTGAACTGAGCTCTCTGCTACCTCAGCTGTGCTCTACCTTTTCCCCTTCCTTCTTTCCTGCTGCTGTTGCTCTTATTTCTGCATTACTGCTGGCTCTGCATTGATATCCTGGGTGTTCATGGGGCTTCCACCATCTCTTCATTTTCCCTTCCCCAGGGTGGGTGCATGTGTCCCCACTTATTCATGCCTTTGTTGTGAGCTGGAGCCCCCTGGCCATCATGCTGCCTGGACACCACTTGGCCAGGATCAGTGCCCTGTGTGGGCTCAGGATGCAGAAGGGACGCTAAAGCCAGACTGTGCCGCTGTGGCTGGATGGCCCTGGAACTGTGGGGGGCTTCAGGGAAGCTGATGGGGCTGGTGTGGGTGCCCAGTGTTAGCCTCTTCCTGCTCCATTCTTCTCTCTGTCTGTGATGCTGTCAGTGTCCTCCCCACACAGCTGGGTTGCCCCCTGTGACTCCCACCTATTCCTCCTTTAGGGCAGCAGGTAATTGAAGAGCAGCGGCGGAGATTGGCTGAGCTGAAGCAGAAAGCAGCAGCTGAGGCTCAGTGCCAGTGGGATGCCCTGCATGGGCCATCCCCCTTCTTGGCAGGCCCCTCAGGCTTCCCCTCACTCATGCACCACTCCATTCTGCACCACTTGCCAGCTGGGCGGGAGCGTGGGGAGGAGGGTGAACATGCCTACGACACACTGAGCCTGGAGAGCTCTGACAGCATGGAAACCAGCATCTCCACAGGAGGAAACTCAGCCTGCTCCCCTGACAATGTGTCCAGGTACCTGACCCCCACCCCATCCTGCCTGAGGTATCAACTCTGCACTCCCCCACGATGGACCTACTGCCTCTGCCAGATGCCTTTTCAGCAACTTGATGCACCCACTCTTTTTCTTCCTCCTCCAGTACAAGTGGCCTGGATACCAGCAAGATTGAGGAGATGGAGAAGATGCTGAAAGAAGCTCACGCGGAGAAGAGTCGGCTTGTTGAGTCGAAGGTAAGGTAGATCTGGGCTTCAGAGGCAGAGGCTATGGGGCCTCAGTGCTGCCTTCTACTTGCCAAGGGCCTGAGTTTTATCCCAAGCCTTTTCACCCACATTATCATTGTAACATTCCCTTGAGGAAAAAAGGCGGGGATGTGGAGGCTTGGTGAGATTCATGTTTCACACCTTGTAGGGAAAGAGGAGGCAGCACAGTAACCATTGTCCAACCATGAATTTCCTGGTTGGGATCCTCTGGTCATCGTGTGTTTATTTCTGTGGATGTTTTTGTCACCTTGGGAATTTTGATTCCTGTCTACCTGAGTGGCTGGTCATTCCTCTTGGGGATGGTTAGGAAAAGCACCAACTGAGAGTTGAGGAATAGGGATAGAAGAGAAGGCATCTGCCAGATGTCCAAGCCAGAGCAGAAGTGCTGGCCTGGGGGACCTTGGGGAGCAAGTGGGTGCTGAGGGAAGTCATGTCTCCTTCAATGACCTGGAGCTGGGACACACCAATGAGAGACCAGTAGTTTATCCTGGACACAGCCAGTCTGAGGAAACCCAGGCCTTAGGAGGAGGTTAGATAAGGGATCTGTGGAAGAAGTTCTTTCTCCACCAACTGGTCAATTCTGCATCTTTTGAGATGAGAGAGTAGAACCCGGAGAGCAGGAGGTAGCAGCTCCAAACACCAGGGAAAAAAGGCTTTTAGTTGTAGTCACATTAGAGGAGTATAAATTTTTAAGCATCTATTGGCAAATGGGGAGGAAGGAGATTTTGCTAAGTTTTAAGCTGAGAAGACTTGCTAAATGGAAGTTAATGATATAAAGGTCATTATCATTGATTAAGACACATAAAACATCACTGAAATGCTCTGTATTTAATGATTTCTTTTAATGACTTTTAAGATGTTTTAATAATGGCTTTCATAAGTTCCTTTCTCCCCCAAAATTTGTAGTTTAAGTACCATTGTCTCTAGTTCGGAGTTTCAAAGGGCCTTAGTGATTAGGGAAGGACCACTGAATATATTCACTGTCAAAAAAAGTTGTTTAGATAATCAATGTCTTAGGAATTCAGATAACAATTACAAGAGACCCATTTATTTATTGAGTGCTTCCTCCCTGCTGGAATCAGTGATGGGCACAGAGATCTTATTTAATTTTTATTATTCTAATAGGAATATGCATTCTTGGCCCCATTTTACACGTGAGGCAGCTGAGGCTTGGGGAATTTAAATGATTTTGTCAGGGTTCCACAGTTCACATTGGTGGCTGAGCCAGGATTTGAAGGCAGGGCCATCTGACTTGAAAGCCTTGACCCTTACCAGCAAGGTCCTTGGAGAGGTTGTTGAATGTTCACCTGAGGACATGCTTAGAGGGGGAGGTAGGGAGGGGGTGGGGGGGAGAAACATCAATCAGTTGCCTCTCCCATGACTGAACCTGCAACTCAAGCATGTGCCCTGACCAGGAATCGGACCCACGACCTCTCAGTTAACTGGATGATGCTCCAACCAACTGAGTGTCACCAGCCATGGCAAGGGTGGGTTTTGAGGATGATGCCTTTGAATGCCAGGCTGCCCACTAAGAGGGGCATCTCCTGTGGCTCTGCCCTCTTCTGAGAGGGGGAAACTGGGGATGGAGGAAGAGGGCAGCTGTGGGCACTGATCCCTGGCTTTGGTGGAAGGAGCAGGAGATGGAGCTACGGCATCAAGCCCTGGAGGAGGAGCGGAAGCAGCGGGAGCGGGTGGAGCGGAAGCTTCAGAGTGAGAGCACTAGGAGGCAGCAGCTGGTGGAGAAGGAGGTCAAGATGCGGGAGAAACAGTTTTCTCAGGTGAGTGGGCAGTGGGGTATGGTGGGTACTGGCTTGAGGGTGAGGCTGTGGAGGAGTAGAGACATTCTAGGGCATCTCTTCTAGGCTGTAAAAGCTGCTCTACTCCAAAAAAGATTACTGTTGGCTCAGCACAAGCAGACTTCTACCTGAGACTCATTCAGTCCCAAGGAACAGGGGCTTGTTAAGCCAGTGTGTTTCTATATATGTGTATGTGTATGTTGTGAGTGGGTGGGTTGTGGGGACATGACAGGCTACCTTGCTGACATCTAGGGTCAGAGAATATGGACTGGATGGGCCTCTCAGAGATGGGAGCCAAGAGTCAAGTATCAGGGTGGCTCCCCTTGGCCTCTTTCAAGGGCTTCATCTCTGCTTCACGAGTCTCTGCTGTGCCTCCCTTCACTTCTCTGATGGCCTCCTGTACCTGGTGCTTCATGGCAGTCCTGACCTTCACTCCACCACACCTTTTGGCTCCAGGCCCCACCACCAGCAGATGCCCTGGCTATGACTGTTGGTTATATCTCCAAGAGAAAATTATATTAGTTTCTCCTTGGGACAGGAATCCTTCCCTGTACAAAAGACAACTCTGGACTTTTTCCTTATGTAAGAGACTTGAGCAGAATATTCAAAGGTAGCAGGAGAACATAGGTTGGGTAGGGAAATGTACCCTTGTCTCTGGTCCCAGATCCTAGCCCTTGTGAGAGCCTGAGGGACTCAGACAGGCTGTTCCTTATATTGGGTTTCCATAGACCTCCCCCGGGTAGGGGTCCCTTGGGATCTACTACCAGTAGTCACCAGCTATCACAGGTCCCCGACTTCCTGTGGTGCAACAACATAAATTCATAGGAGTAGGCTGCCTCAATTAGGTTTGAGAATTAAAAAAAATAATCAGATACTGTGAGTTTTACCTCTGTGCTTAGAATCTTTGTCAAATGCCTAATTCCCCTCTCTGTCTGTGGCCACTTTGGGACTCTCTAGCTCCCTCTTATGGAACTGAGGCATTGCTGCAGGGGCCAACAGTGTGCTATGGGAAGTGGGTAGAGCCAGCCCATTTTGGAGGTACGCCCTGGAAGTTGTTCATTTTGTAGTATAAGAATTTTTTTAAAAGATTTTATTTATTTATTTTTAGAGAGGAAAGGGAGGGAGAAAGGAGAGAGAGAGAGAGAGAAACATCAATGTGTGGTTGCTGGGGGCTGTGGCCTGCAACCCAGGTATGTGCCCTGACTGGGAATCGAACCTGCGATGCTTTGGTTTGCAGCCCGCGCTCAATCCACTGAGCTACCAGCCAGGTAGCTCAATCCAGCCAGGGCTGTAGTATAAGAATTTTTGAGGTGGAACAAACCTTACTGATTTTGTGGTTCAAAGCCCTTGTTTTACATATAAGGAAACTGAGGCCCAGAGAAGGGATATGACCCAGACAAGGTCCTTAGGAAGTCAGAGACCAGATTTCCTATTGGGTTTTTCTTCCCAGAGCCTGTTCATATGTGGCCTCTGGCTTTATTCCATTCAGCCCAGGAGGGAGAAGAGGGGCAGGGACAAGACAAGTATGGCTGTATCTTGGTCATAGGTGGGGAAACGTAGGCATAGAGTCACTCAGCAGTTTGCCCAAGCCTGTTCTGCCCAGCACAGACATGCTAGATCTCTGCTTTTGCCACAAGCCCTGTGAAACCAGAGTGGCAGCATGGGGGAAGGGAGGGAGTAATGGCAGGAGTGAGGATTGAAGCCTAGGGACCTGGACAAGGAAATGATGGGGAAGAGAGGAGACTCTGCTGACCCTTCCCTCTGCTCCCAGGCACGACCCTTGACCCGCTACCTGCCAGTCCGGAAGGAGGACTTTGATCTGAAGACCCACATCGAGTCCTCAGGCCATGGTGTCGATACCTGCCTGCACGTGGTACTCAGCAGCAAGGTACTGGCGTGAATGGCCCTGGTGTGCTGGGGACAGGCTCCTGTGGTTAGAGGCCCCTCCTCAGTCCTCAGAATAGTGGCCTCAGTTCCTGACCTAACACCAGAGTCTCTGTCCCAGGACCTGGTATTCTGGCTTGAAGAAATGTTGAGGATAGCTCCCTGTCACCCCCCACCCCCCTGCCGCCCTCAATGAATACAGGCACAAGTGATGAAGTGATGGCACTTATGTTGCTGCTCAGGGAAGAAATGTTTAGGGGCTGTGCTTTTGGGTCCTTCCTTACTTCTGCTTCCCACCAGGTCTGCCGAGGCTACTTGGTCAAGATGGGCGGCAAAATTAAATCATGGAAGAAGCGCTGGTTTGTCTTCGACCGGCTCAAGCGTACCCTTTCCTATTATGTGGGTGAGTTCCCACATAGCTTCCCTAAAACCAGACCCCTGGGCTCTGTCACCTAGGACAGCTGGTCTTCTGGAAGGATGCCAAGCTTCCAAGTTGTGGGGCAAAAGGCTTGGCTGGGTCTTATCCTTCTCCCCATCCTCCAGAAAATGTACAGGGTGTACCTGGTTCATCTCCATTTATTTGTTCATCCATCGATTTACTTGGCAATTACTATGTATCTAATAAGGTTTAGGCATGGTTCTAGGTTCTAGTGATAAGCAAGATGGCTGCAGCATTCTCCCTTGGAACTTACTGTCAGGGAGGCAGATGATGAACATGAACAGAGAGTTAAAACATAGTGGATAAGCTGTAGGGACGCACAGACACTGTGACTGCACAGAATCCTGTGGATTTTCCCTTCAGCAAGTTCCCTCAAAGACTCCAAGACAAGCAGTTGAGCATTGCCAAGGTATGCTCAGGACAACTCAGGACAACCTTGGGGTCAGGCCCACTGGCCTGTCTTGCTCCCTTCACTCTCCCAGCTTAGTTTCCCATGCCTGGAATTCCCTCTGGACTTAGAATATGGGGTGCTCTATCACCCCCTAGTCAGGAAAGGCTGGAGTGTGCTGTGGGAACAGCCGGTCCTAAGATCCCTGTGGCTCAAAACCACCGAGTTTCCCTTCTCCCTCTTGATGCATGTTGTGTGTTTTGTGAGTGTTGGGGGATCTGCTCTGCAGCAATGTTTCCTTTGCTTTAGTACATGCCTTTCTGGAACATCGCTGGCTGCCATGGCAGAGAGTAAAGAGAAGTCTAATTGGGCCTTGCATTGTTATCAGATGCCTCATCTGGGTTTGTCCAGCCAGTCACCCAGTCCCACATGACCACAAAGCCAGGAAGAACAGTCTGGCTGGGAGCCTGAAAGGAAAGGGCTAGAGAGTTTGGTGCTGGAGAGGCCTAGGCCTGGAGAGCCCTGCTTTCTCTCCCTGGTCCTCAACCAGGTGCCACTCCCTCCAAGAAGTCTTCCATAAGCACATGGGCCTTCCGTGTGGGGAGGCAGGAGAGGCAGAGATACAAGTGTCCCCATGTTTACACCTGGGCTGGGAACAGACTTTGTGGGGATTGAGAGGAACAGGCCTAGGGAAAAGCTTCATTTTAGGCATGTGAGATTAAAGCACCCCAAGGACATCTAGGCTTAAGATAAAGGTCAGGATCAGAGGCAGAGTGAAAGTTGAATCTGTTATAATAATAATAATAATAATAATAATAATAATAATAATAATAATAAAATAGCAGATCATCCTTATTGACCACTTATATGAATCACATGCTATGCTGAGTACTCTACATGTATAATTTTATTCAATCTTCATAATAATCTTTGGGAGAAGCACTGTTTCCATACCTACTTCACAGATAAAAAAAAATAAAGCTTAGACACTTCTGGATAAGATGGTGGCAAACACAGTTCATGTACTCATACAACCACAACAAAATTACAACTAAAATATAGAGCAATCGTCACTCAGAGCCATCAAATATCAAATTGAATGGAAGTCTGAACCTGACAGCTACAGAATTAAAGAAACCACATCCATCCATTCTGGTAGGAGGGGTGGGAACACGGAATGATCTGGTCCCTTACCCATGTGTGATGGATAAAAATTGGGAGGATTATCTCAGGAGTGAGGAGTCCCAGCCCCATACCAGGCCCCCCCAGCCCAGGGTTCCAGTGCCAGGAAGATAGGTCCCCATAACATTTGGCTGCAACCACTAGTGGGGATTGAGTTGGTGGAAGAAACTTCTGGAGTCCCAAGAGGTTCCCCTTAAAGAACCCACACACAGACTTAGACTTCTTCCCTCTGAGCTCCAGCACCGGGATAGCAGCTTGAAAGGCATGAGTGACATATAGGGAGGAACTGAAGTGTCAGTATCAAGGCAAGAGCTGGGGTATAGCTTTCTGCCAGACTGGAAGGGGGGCAGGGGCCATTGTCCCTTTTATGAGCCCTCCCCCAACAGCCATAGAGGCAACAGGCTGGTGCCATATTGGAGACTCCATGAACCTGGCTAACACTGTTTGCCCCACCCTGGAGATCCCCTGAGACTGTCCCACCCAATTTATGGACCCACCCAAGCTGTTTGACTATATGAATGGCTGGTCTTGGCTTATGCTTCACAACATCCTAAATCCTCTCAAACAAGTAACAACTGGCTTCAGCCCCTAGCCCCTGTACCTCTTAATGAGTGGTCCCAGGTCTGGCACTAGCCACAGCCAGCCTAGATTCACAGCTAGGCTTTGCCTGGGAATCTCCAAGCCCAGCACAAGTAGCAGCCACCTCAGATTGCTTTATAGCTCAGGCAGGGTGGCTCTGGGCAGAACACAAGTGGGCTGACATTGGCCTGCACCACCCAGGAAACCCCAGAGCCTGTGTACCTAGTGGACAGCTACAGATCACATCAGAGCACCACCCCCCTGCTCCTGCACAGCTGATCCTCCACGGAGGGTGGAGGTTGGTGGTCAGTGATCCTCACTGGTACTTGCAGCTGACTGGTCTGGGTAAATTCTTCCTACTGATCTGCCAATGGTAATCAAGGCTCAACTACAAGAAGGGGGTGTACTCAGCTCACACAAAGGGCACACCTTGAGTACCCAGCTTGGGTGATAGGGGAGGCAGTGCCACTGGACCCTACAGGGCACCTACTACATTAGGGCACACTACCAAGACAGGGAGTCATAGCAGCTCTACCTAATACACAGAAACAAACACAGGGAGGCTGCCAAAATAAGGAGACAAAGAAACATGGCCCAAATGAAAGAACAGAACAAAACTCCAGAAAAATAGCTCAACAAAATGGAGATAAGCAATCTGTCAGATGTAGAGTTCCAAACACTGGATGTAAGGATGCTCAAGAAACTTAGTGAGGACCTCAACAGCATAAAAGAGATCCAGTCAGAAATGAAGGATATACTAATTGAAATAACAAGTTACAGGGAAACAACAGTAAAGTGGATGAAGCTGAGAATCAAATCAATGATTTAGAACATAAGGAAGCAAAAAACAACCAAGAAGAAAAACATCCAAAAAAACAAGGATAGTGTATGCAGCCTCTGGGACAACTTCAAGCCTTCCAACATTCACAAAATAGGAGTACCAGAAAGAGAAGAGAAAGAGCAAGATAATTGAAAATCTATTTGAAAAAATATTGAAAGAAAACTTGCCTAATTTGGTGAAGGAAATATATATGCAAGTCCAGGAAGCACAGAGAATCCCAAACAAGATGGATACAAAGAGGCCCACTCCAAGACACATGACAATTAAAATGTCAAAAGTTAAAAGATAATGAGAATCAAAAGCAGTAAGAGAAAAGCAGTTACTTATCTATAGGGGAATTTCCATAAGCCTGTCAGCTGATTTCTCAAAAGAAACTGCAGGCTAGAAGGGATTGGCAAGAAATATTCAAAGAGATGAAAAGCAGGGATCTATGGACAAGAGTGCTCTACCCAGCAAAGCTATCATTTAGAATCAAAAGGCAGATAAAGAGCTTCCCAGACAAGAAAAAAACTAAAGGAGTTCATCATCATCACAAAACCATTATATGAGATGTTAAAGAGACTTATTTAAGGAAAAGAAGATCAAAACTGAACACTAAAATGGCAATAAATACATATCTATTAACAATTGAATCTAAAAAACAAACTAAGCAAAGAAGAAAAACAGACAGAATCATGGATACAGGCAGTGTTTTTGATAGCTGCCAGATGGGAGAGAGACTGGGGAAATGGGTGAAAAGGTGAGGGGGTTAAGAAGTACAAATAGGTAGTTACAGAATAGCCATGAGGATGTCAAATACAGTGTAGGAAATGGTGTAGCCAAAGAACTTATATGCATGACCTGTGGACATGAACAATTGCCTGAGGGAGTACGGGTGCTGGGTGGGTGGGGTGGGGCAAAGGGGGAACAACCAGGATAACTGTAATAGCATAATTAATAAAATATTATTAAAAGGCTCAGAGAGGTTAAGTAAATTGTTCACAGTCTCACAGCTGCTAAGAGGCAGAGCTAAAATTGAACCTAGGCCATTAGAAAAGAAAAGGCAGAGAGAGAGGGCTGCACTATTGTGAGGAAGGAGGGAAAAGAGAGACCAGCAAAGGTAGAAGGGGCAGGAGGCAGTAATCTACATGCCAGGTGCTGAGCTGGTGCTTGGCATACATGACCTTCCTTTTATGAAACAAAAGGAGACTAAGCTTAGACAGGGGTGGTAATGGAAAGAAGCCAGCTAAAGGAGTGGACATTTGTAAGCAGGGGTGTCTAGTGGTGGTGGGTGCTGTAGGAAGGCTAAGAATGATTTGGAACTAAAGGCCATTCAATTCAGGCATTGGAGCCTGACAAGAGAAAGGCTTCTGCTGTATACAGGGGTGGGAGCCAAATTGCACAAGATCATGGAGAGGTAGGTGGTTAGGAAACAGAGGAAGGATTGAGTTGTTACAGTGAAGCAAGGGAATGGAGAGAATGGGCAGGGGCCAGGGTGGGGCTGGGTACTTGTCTTGAAGAGGAAGTGTTGGATGGAGGTTGGGCCTGTGATAGGATCAGGGCCCTGGATTAGTGTTACTTGCCTGCACCTGCCTTGAACTTGCCATTCTCCCTGCCTTTGCCTGGACTTTCCTTGTACCTACTTGATAGAATACTCCTTTCTATTCTGTAGAGTTCAGATCAGATATTACCTCCAATGAAGCCTTTCCGGGCTCCATCTTACTGAGACTGGTTCCTGTCTTTCATTGTATAACTCCTGTGTTATACAGGGTCTCTCTGCCATGTGACATCAGCCAAGGGGCATATTGATGGAATAACAGATGCTGCATGGTATGTGCCAGCTCTGCTGCACACTTTGAACGTGTTCACTCAATACTCACAACCACCTGTGATACATAGCTGTCCTCTTGGACACCCAAGTCATGCAATTGGTAAATGCATTCTTTCCCACTAAATTGTAAGTGCCTAAGAGAAGGATCTCTGACTTTTCCCTGTATCCCAGTGCCTGGGTCTCATTCATTTAACTCATTGACCACCTACTGTGTGCTAGGCATGTAGTTGGTGTTGGAGGAGGCAGATCTATGAATTGCAAGGAGGGTTCAGACTCAGCCTGAGTTCTGTAGAGGAGCATGGATGCTGTGGGAGCACAGTGAGCACAGCCGTACACTAGAGTGGTGACATTTGCAATGGGTTTTCAAGATTACTTAGGAGTTTGCCAAGGGAGTGGGCTGGAGACCATTTCAATGTATGCAGAGAACACTCTTAAGGAAATGTGAGAGGCTCAGCATGGCCAGACAGAACCTGGGGTTGGTGTAGGGAGGGGTGTGAGACTAGGCCAGAGGAACATGTTGGCACCAGCCTGTAAATAGCCTTGGCCAAACCAAGGAGGCAGCAGGTTTCCAGTGAGGGAACCAGCAAAGAAGCTTGTGAGCTGAGGCAGCAGGATTAGATTTGCTTTAGGAAGCTGACCCCCTCAGCATTAGGGTGGTCCAGGGGCATGTCAGGAGGCTGCAGCAATGGCCCAGGGTAGATGACTGGGGCCTGAAATGGCACATGGGATGGGGGAAGGTGCATGCTGCCACCCACCAACCATCTGAGCTTAGTGATTGTGTTTTTCCTTCATGCCTCAGGCTCACTGTCCAGGATGCCAGCTGTAGTACCTGGACAGTTTGCCTTTGACAGTGCCCTGTCCCTCCCAACCAGAAGTCATCCTGCTGGTAGTTTACCCACCTTGTTCCTGCCACCCCTGCCTTCATATGCTAAATACTTCCTTCTTTTTTAAAATATTAGAATTCAATAGGTGAATGCATTCATATACTTGAAAATCAAAATATATAAAAAGGTTTAAATTGAGAATTATGCCCCCACTCACTGTAGATAACCACTTTTATTGCTCTTTTGTGTATCCTTCTAGTGCTTTAAGGGAATATAAACAATGCAAACATGTATTCTTACTCCTTTTCTTACACAAAAGGTAGCCTGTAATACATTCCTTGTTTTCCTGCTAATTTTCTACATCAAATATATCTATGTCTAGATATTTATATCTGGATATATTGTATAGATTTGTTTCTGAATTTATATATCAGATATTTGTACATTATTCTATATAATAGCTGTCTGGTATCCCATCATGTGGTACGCTATAATTTGTGAGTCTCCCTCCATCTGGTGGATATTTGGGTTGTTTCCAGTATTTTGTGACTACAAATATTGCTGCCAGAAACGATCTTTTAAGTTTGTTATTTTGCACATGTGTAAGATAAATTTTCCTAAGTGTGATCATTGGCTTAAAGGACAAACAGCAATTTTGGTAGGTATGGCCAAATCACCTGTACAGTTTGCAAGTTTATATACTCCCACCTGCTGTTTATTAGACAGCCTTTTCTCTACATACTTGACAAAAGTGTGCTGTATATCTTTTGTATGTTTTTGACATTCTGATAGGTGAGAAGCGGTATCTCAGTGGAGTTCTAATTTGCATTCTCTGTAATTCTGTGTGAGCCTGAGCACTGATGTGGGTTCTGTTTGGGAGCCCTGGGAATCACCCCATTCCCCAGGTGGAAACACTCCATGGCAGTGAAGCTTGGCCTGAAGTACGACAGGCCTCCTCAACCTGGTCCTTATTTTCTTTGCAGACAAGCATGAGACAAAATTGAAGGGGGTCATCTATTTCCAGGCCATCGAAGAGGTATACTACGATCACCTGCGCAGTGCAGCCAAGGTGAAGGGGCAGAAGAGACCGGTCATGGGGAATGGGTGGGCTCTATGGCAAAGGCCTCCAGCCTGCCCTCTTCAGAGTCTCAGACCCGTCCCTTCCTCTCTTTGTAAACTTTTCCTTCCTCTCTTCTCCCCTTCCCAGAAGAGGTTTTTCAGCTTCACTATGGTGACAGAACTATCCCTTCCTATGTACAGTAACTAGAACTGCTGCATATTAACACCTTCATACCTCAGTTGCCTCTGACCCTTTACTCTCCCTTTAACCCTCTTTCTTTCCTTAGGCCTGAGGGAGGAGTGAAGGTGGATTGCAGAAAGCAGGATGCCCCAGTAGGCTCGAATTTGACTGGCTTGCCTCCTTCTCCTAAGATGACAGCACGATGTCTCCCAAATGGGGGTGGGCAATGCAGAAGGGATGACTAAAAGGGGGCCCTTGAAGACTAGATTTGGTAGAGAGGATTGATAAATAGGAGATATTTGAGCCTGGTTATCTGCCTCACTGCAGTATAAGTCAGCCTCCCTCTCTCCAAGCCTCAGATGCCCACTCTCTGTGATCTCTGGGGTCCTAGGGCTCAGCATCGTACTTGTAGCTTTGTCCATCTGCCCCTCTTTTGCAGAGAGAACTCTGGTCTTCACTGGAACAACCCTTTGTGTCTGATTTCTTTTGACATTCTTTTATGTCTGGGGTGTAAAGGAACAGTGCTCCCACCTGGCATAATATGACCTTGCCAGGGCCCAAGGGTTGCCAGGTGTAAGGAGGGGAATATCTCAGCCTGAGGCCCACTTGACTGGTTGTGACTAGGTTTTAGGCCTGTGTAGGACTCAGCCCTTAGCTCCAGGTTGTCTTGGACAAAGAGGAGAAAGTACAGACCAGGAGGCTGGGCAGGAGAATGCTTGTGAATGTCAGGGGTAAGCCCTGTTTAGACTCTCCTCTTTCTCTCCGCAGAGCCCGAACCCAGCCCTGACCTTCTGTGTGAAGACCCATGACCGGTTGTACTACATGGTGGCCCCATCTGCGGAGGCCATGCGCATCTGGATGGATGTCATTGTCACCGGGGCTGAGGGCTACACTCAGTTCATGAACTGACTGTTGTGGGCCTCCTGGACCCATGCCTGACCACCTGCTGCTCTGCTTGCCCCTGGAGACAGAGTAACACCCTGGGCCCCAGACCTCACTGGGTGCTTCCAGAGGCCCTGGGAAAGTAGAACATAACTGGTGCTTTTGTATAAGAAGAGTTTGCAATGTTATCTAAGGAACTCATTCTGGGAGTTTCTGAGCTTGAGCTTCCTAAAGAATCAGTCAGGAGATCAAAGGTAGGGAAGGGGCTTTGTAGCCTCCTTAGAGCCCAGCACTTGCAATAACTCTTCAGGGTCCTGTGCTCCTTGGCCTGTGTTCTCTTTTGTAAAGGACAGTTATGGTACCAGAATTGGCCAAAGATTCCCTCTTGCCTCAGCCCCCTTTGCAGGAGCATTGGGGCTGAGCAGTACCACATCCAGAGTGGGGCGACAGCTCAGGCAGTTTCTATCTCAAACCCTGCTCTTACCCCTTTGTTTTCCCACATCCATATTTTTAAAAAAGATTTCATTTGTTCATTTCCAGAGAGAGGGGAAGAGAGGGAGAGAGACTTCACTGTGTGGTTGCCCTTTGAGTGCCTCCCACTGGGGACCGGTGTTGCCACCGGTCTACAACCCAGCCCTGACTGGGAAGTGAACTGGTGACCCTTTGGTTTGCAAGCCGGCACTCGATCCACTGAGCCACACCAGCCAGGGCCCGCATTCATATTTTTTTTACCTTGCTCAAGGGTCAGAGACCAAGTTTTATCCTTGAGGTTTGGGCCCCATACCCTTTTTGCAGACCCATTGCCATGGTCACCACTGTAACTGCTTCATTGCTATGGTTACATACTAATTACGTTGGCTCCATAGCTCAGCAGCTTAGCCCACTGCTTAAGCTGTGGGCCCATGTGAGGGTACATGTGCCATCATCTCTCCAGCCCAGGCTGCTGGGCATCTCATGCTGTGGGAAGGAACTGAAAACCTCCCTGTACCAGCCTGTGTCTCTAGGCCCTGATATACAACCTGTTGGCCCCTTGGGCGAGCCCTCTCCCTTCCACTTGTGCCTTCCTTAGAGCCAGAAGGGATGAAACCAGGGTATCTAGATCCAGAGAAGTGATATGGATGACTGAGAAAGCTAGAAGGGCTGAGTTTCTGACAGGGACGGAGGGCTACTCCATGAGAAAACCTGAGCGGGAGAGGAGCAGCAAAGAAGGAAGGCCTGGAAGCCCAGCTTCCCTACTTCAGCCACAGAAGGATGATGAAAATGGAGAGCAAAGGACTAGGCCTCAGCAGTCTGGCCTCAGTCCTTCCCGCCTTAACACTAATCCCACCTCCCTGCTCCCTTCTCCAGCACTGGGCCATGGTTGCTGGGTCCAGGCTGGGTGATTTGCAATATTTGTAAGCATCTCAACAGAACAATAAAGCATTTGAAGTATGTTGCTGGGAGGCCAAGTTGTGTGGGGCACTGGGCTGGGGTACCTGGGGTAGAAGGGTCAGGTCCTCCCAACAGAGTAGAATTTCCACTTTATTAAAATGTTCCAGGAGGGACCCAGGGCCTAACCCATGACCTCCAGGTTCCTACCCTGTCCCCATCCACTATGACCAAGGACGGGCGGGACGTATAGGAGGGCATGGGGGTCTCCAGGGATGGAGAATGAAGAGGCAGGAGAAGGTAGGGACTCATGCACAGGTTTAATGAGGCAGGAGCTGGAGCTAGAGGAGCACCTGAAGGCAGAGGGGGCAGTGAGGCCCATCACTGTGGCAGCAGGCTAAGCAGAAGGGCAACTGTGAGGCAGTGGGGCTCCAGGAAAGCTGTCTGGGTCCCTGAACTCAGCCGGTCACCATAGAGATCCAGGAGCATCAGGACCACTCCATTGGTCCAGCCAAACCCCTCCTGGAGAGAGGCATGGCCAGTGGGGGAAAGACCCTTGGGGAAGGCCCCCAAGTGCTGTTAGGTACGTGTGTGGGATCTCTACCCAGAGGCTCTGGCCCTGCCTAGCTAGTCCCAGGGGTACCAAGGAGTACCAGTCAGACTCCTCCCTGTGGACACACATGGGAGGAAATGGAGGCTTAGAGGGAAAAGTTATGGTCAGCTTGTGGGGACAGCAGGGCCCCCCCCAAATCCCTGTAGGATGTTGGCCCACTCACCTGAACTTCATACTCCCCTCCGCCACCGGGTTGTCCACCATTGCCGATGTCATACTGGGGACAAGAGGACAAGTTCTAAGGTCAGTACTATCCCTAGCCCACCCCCTCCCCCCATCCAGCCCTCTAGGAGGAGCAGGAAATGGGAGCCTTTTTGGGAGAAGGGGCTGTAGTCTGGCGCTTACCCATGCAGTGCCCAGGAATAGCCACTGGGTGCCACCACTGTCCCGGGATCTGGGCTTTGCAAAGCCTGAGAATTCCCCCACCTCACCACAGGTAGGAGTACTGCTGGGAATGGGCTCAGGGCCCGCTCACCTTCTCATACATGGCTGCCTTTTGGGAGTAGACATCAAAGTTGGTTCGGATCCAATTCTGCGCCAGCTGGAAAGCTACTTCCTGAGTCCGGGGTGAAGGCGACTTGGCCAGACCTGAACCCCGCCCCGAGGCAGGACCCTGAACCTCCAGAGCCCCTGCCCCAAGGGGCTCAGAGGCCTGAGCCTCTCTCTCAAGGAGGAAAGGAGGCCCGGGCCCTGCAACCTCCTTTCTGGAACCACAGGTGAACCTGCTCTAATCCAGGGCCTGGTTTTGGAGGGAGTGGAGGGCTGATTCTCCTGACAAGTGGAGGTGGGCATAAATGTTTGCTGAGCGGGAGGCTGAGAGAGCCGGAGGAGTCAGAGAAAGACCGCCCCCCCCGCCCCCGCATCCTTTGTTCACAACTCCCCAGTACCTGGAAGGCTGACCCTCTACACCCAGGCGGTAAGGTCCTGGGGTATGTCCCATCCCTGCCTCCTACCTCTGATGACCAGGTCCTGGAGGGGGGCCCAGGCATTGGGGAAGTCCCACTGCTGGCCCGTTTTCCGGAGAGATGTTGGGATTCCGTATCGATAGGTCAGTATCTGGCTGTCCTGCAACGTTCCAGACATCACTACAACTGTGGGTGGGGGCTGGGCCGGGAGCCAGGAGGCTGGGCTTTCCTAAAGCCAGATGTCACTTTCCTGGGCCTTCTCTTCTTGTCTCACACCTGCCCCCTGGTGGCTGCAGTGGGACCGTCAGGCTAAGGCACAGGAGGGGGTGGCTGACACTTGCCAGAGGTCACTGCTCAGAGTCAGGGAGAGAGCAAGTGGTGCTGCCCCCTCACCTCCAGGTATTTCAGAGCCTTGTCCACGACGTCTGGGTCAGAGAAGCAGCCCGCCCAGAGAGGAGCAAGGTTGGATGGGTAAAACTCTCGGTTCTTCTTTCTGTTTTCAAGGTCATAGTCAAACCAGACACCTTTCTCTTCGTCCCAAAGGATGGCCTTCAGGGCAGCCAAGCGCTGTTCCCGCAAGTTTCTGTACATCGTGGCTTGAGAGTCATTCCCTGCGGTGACATTTGGTTTAGATGGAGTAACCAGGGCTCCTATCCTTGGGCCCCATGAACTTCCAGAGGTCTAATACTTTGGCATCCTATTGTTGTCCCCAAGGTCTAAGGAAACATGCCTACTTATAGCCCACCACATTTTGGGCTTCTAGGACCTGGAATTCCCTGAGCAAGTGGTCCTTTGCAGCTCCCAGGACCTGCACTGTCCTGTCCCCAGATTCATCCTTGGTAGAACACTGGCTGTATGGATTCCCTAGCTCTGAGGACTCAAAAGTGCAGCTGTTTGGAAGAGGAATCATGAGATTTTGGATGTGTGGACTAAGGGGTCCTTTCATAGGCCCTAGAAGGCCTTCCCAGTAAGAAAAGGAGGGGAGTGAAGATAAGAATAGACCCCATTTGTACTCCTGTCCTGCCTACACTGGGGGTGCAGTATTGAGCAGGCTAAATGGTGGAGGCATTTCACCCAAGTCCCCAATTCCATCTCTGTTGCCAAGGCTGAGGTAGGGACCCAAGTCTGACAAGCACACCCTTCCCCTCCTACTGGCCTGCTCACCCAAGCTGGTGTAGAAGTTGCTCATTAGCTCCTCTGCCTGGCATAGGAAGGCATTGAGGTCAACAGGCACAAGTTTGCTGGTTCGGATACTGCTGAGCAAGTTGGGGTTTGGGCCTCCGATTAGCCATCGTGAAGAGAAGTCCCAGCCAGACTCAGCCCCAGCCTTGAGCTCAGCCCACAGAGCCTCCCGGTTCCCTGTGAGGACAGACACAGCACCGAGAAGACCAGGGCCTGACACCACAGCAGGCACCCAGCTCCACCTGGCTACCTTCGTGCTGCTGCTACTCACCTTCAGGCAGGGTGTCTGCCAGCTCAGCATCTTTACTGTAGGACTCTGGTCTGGCAAGACAAGAGTGGACATCTGGCACAGGAAGGCTCTGAGCCCTCTGTGCCTAAGCTGAGGATGAGCCCTGTTGACTCAGCAAGCCTTGGGCCCCACAGCCCCTGCATTACTCATGGCTTCCAGTCTCACCCTCTAAGAAGGGGCCTAGGTCATTGGCCCTCCTGCCCAGAGGCCTGGTGACAAGTGAACAAGAGTGAATAGACAAGATATTAAGAGGCTTTCCCCACAGTTCCTCACCTGGGTCCCCCATAAGGGACGTAATAGTGATTCAGGATGTAGCTCTTTCCCCCCAGGTTCACAGAGATGTTCCTGTTCTTAGTCCAGAAGTCCAATTCCAAGGCAAGGGTCCCAATGTTGTCCCTGGGGGGAGCAGCCGGGCACCACCTCAGCCTAGGCACACCTCTCTATTCCCACCCTGGGAGGTCTTAGGTATGGGGGAGCCTGCAGCACAGCACGAGGAGAGGGTGCCCACCGTAGGAAGGCAGTATCATTGGTGTAAGTCACATAGCGGTCCATCATGAGGGTCAGGAGTGGGGGCTGGCTGCGCTGCAGGTAGTACACTCGGGCCCCGTTGGGCACATGTCCATAGCTGCCGAGAAGGAGACTTGCTGACACGCCCCTGCCCAACCATCATAGCCAAGGCAAACCCAGTTCCAAGCCCATGGCACCTGCCTCTCCTGCACCCGGCCTGGAGGTGCCAGGTGCCCACTTACATTTGCACCAGGTCCAGGAAATTCTGCAGCATGCCCTTCACTGTCTCAGGCATCTCAGAGAGGAGCAGACCCTCCATCACCCAGTAGGAGTCCCTGGCAAAAGGGACAGCTCAGGTATCCCAACCATGCACCCCACTCCCCACCCTCTGCCCTGCATACCCAGGCCCCATCAGTGTGGCCCACCCCCACTCAGGTGACTCCACTTGCTGGTTCTGGGCTCCCCACCACTCTCACCCCTGCAGCTGCTGGCTGCTCACCAGTAGTAGAACTCCAGAAAGCGCCCGCCAGGCACAATGAAGGGGTGCTGAGAGTAGATCAAAGAGAACCGCTCTGGGTGGTGGAGGACCTCTGGCTTCACCTGAAGTCAGGAGACAAGGCACAGGGAGCCTACACCCCCCCCCCACCCCCCCTTTCCCAGAGCCTGGAGGCCAGAGGAGTCTGGCCCAGTGGAGGCACTGGCAGCTGTGGGCTTTGGAGCCAGGAAGCTTGGACTTGGGATTGGGTTTGGGCTTGGGCTTGGGCTCTGCTGCTGCTCAGCCCTGTGGGCTCAGTCAAGGACTGGCTCTGGGAACCTGGACTGCTCACCCCCCCACGGGCAGGCCTCTGAGTCCCTGCTGTGCTCTGATGGGGACCCCAGGCTGCGACACTGTGGATGGGGGGAGAGACATTCACACAGACTACGAGTCTTGTGAAGGAAAAGGGCTAGCGGCTTCGCTCTCAAGGGGAGCAAAAAGCTGTGGCCTCTGCCATGACAGGCCTTTATTTCCATCTCTGGGCACATTACATGATGGTCCTCATTATTATCCCCAGTTGGCTTTGGGTGGTTACATTTTACAGAAAACTAAGGAGCCAATGCCGCTAATCACATCACAGAGGAGGAATATTTGCAAATGAAAAGGCAAAAGTGGTTGAACCAGTTACACTCATCCTTGGAAGGTTTAGCATAGATTCTAGGAAGTTACTTTGCAGTAAATGTTTGCTACAAATCAGGGTGAGGGAGTTTTTTTAGCAAAAGCAAGACTCAAAGTGGCCTAGGCACATTGCAGGCCTGATTCCCCACTGGAGAACCTATCCGTGGGCATGGGTCCTGTGCATCTCCGAGTGGGAGCTGGGCCCACACCACGGAGAACGTTCTCCTACAGTGCTCCATGGTGTGCAGGAGCCCCCGACAGCTCAGCCTGGCACCAGCAAGTACTCACCAAGCAGTGGCCACTACTAGGACCCAGGTTGGGGACCATTTCCACCACCTCCTCAAGTCTCTGCTACCACCACCAAGCCAGGCCCAGAGACTCGGGACCCCCCACTCTCTGGCCCAGGTCCCTTTCCCCA